TATTCCTTATTTTTTGGATGTGAGGGCTAAAATGACTGAGGCATATTTTGCAATTGCTAAGATAAATGTAGGATCCTTATCGCTAAGCAAAAGAGCCAGGGTTTCTGGAGATCAGGGGAAAGTTGGTTAATTAAAGGCTTAATATAATGATCCCTTATATTTTTGAAAAACCTACATTCAGGCAGGGCATGAAATAATGTATCAATCCTATTAAGGCCACAAGGACAAATTCTGCTGGAATAGGTAAAGGTAAAGGTTTCCCATGCTTGAAAACCAGTCGAATCTGACTCTAGGGATGCGGTGCTCATCTCCATTTCCAAGCCAAAGAGCCAGCGCTGTCCAAAAACATTACCGTGGTCATGTTGCCGGCATGACTAGATGCCGAGGCACACAGAACGCTGTTACCTTCCCACTGAAGTGGTACCTATTTATCTACTTGCAATTTCTTGCTTTCGAACTGCTAGGTTGGCAGGAGCTGGGGCCAGAGACAGGAGCTCACTCCGTCATGCGGCACCCAGGTCTCAAACTGCTGAACTACTGACGTTCTGGGGTGAACAAACTGCAGGCTTTCAGAATCAAGCTGGCATGGTCAATGTCTAGGATATGCCTTTTAATCATAGAAAATGCTTTGGATTTGCCCATCTCAAAAATATCATCAATCAACATTCCAACTACCATACATTTCTCATCCAAGGCTTTCATCCAAGTCTATTTCTGGGTACCCCGATTTAGAGCATCTAACAAACTATCCTCAGCATAAAGGTAAAGGTAAAGGTTCCCTTGCTCGAAAGCCAGTTGAATCCGACTCTAGGGTTGTGGTGCTCATCTCCGTTTCAAAGCCGAAGAGCCAGCGCTGTCCGAAGACGTATCCGTGGTCATGTGGCCGGCATGACTAAACACCAAGGCGCACGGGAACTCAGCATAGAGCAGTTTTAATTTCAGTTTAAAAGCATATACCCACGCTCTTGCTTCCAGGGATAGCTGTCCAAATTCTGCCTGCAATACAACATTAGACACACAACAGGGGATCCTATCTATATAAAAGCCCAATGTATTGGCACTTTTTGGCTCTTTCCTTGGCAGTGCTGTGCACTCCAACAGCCATTGGCCCATCAACCGCCACTTAAAAGTACTTGCATGTCATTGGCTGGGTGCTGGGTCCACTTTTCTCCCCCCGTTCACTGCTGACCAGTTCACCCAATGAGCATGACTGGAAAGCTATTAAGAGACTGGCAAGATACCTAAAGGGAACTTTGGACTACAAACTTAAAATTTCAGCCTGTGATGAACCAAGACTGACTGGATACATGGATGCCAACTGGGACAAAAACTCACCTGATGGAAAATCTACAAGTGGATACTTGTTCTACTATGGAGACAGTTTGATTGAATGGACTAGTCAAAAGCAAAGTATTGTAGCCATGTCTACTGGAGAAGCTGAATGTATATCAGCACAAAGTGCAAGCTATGAACTTTACTGGATTATTCATCTACTGAAAGACTGTGGCATAGATGAACCAAAGCCAATAATACTTTTTGAGGACAATCAAACTTGTATCGCCATCTGCAAAGGTGAAGGCACCAAATCGAAAAACAAGACCATCGCACTCAAATGTCACTACGTGAAAGAGATGCAAGACCGACTGATTGAACTCCAATACTGTCCTACTGATCAGATGATTGCCGATATCCTGACCAAGCCGCTTGACAAGCAACGTTTTGAGACTCTTCGTGAATGTTTGAATTTGCATGACTTTCGTGTTTTAACTTGAGAAGGGGTGTTGGGTATTACAAGTTGAAAACACTCAGTATATCTGGGGTTAAATGTTTGTTTCTTTTACTCACAGGAAGTCACATGTTTCTCATGTAACCAATGTTCTTTAGATGTAAGAAGCCCGGGAAATTTCTCCCTGATCTAGGAGTTTGACTGGGATGAAAGTGTCAAAGTGTTTTTGCATTTTATGGCTACTCTTCCCGTCTTTGTTTGCTGTTCTGAAGAAGAGGAGAGAGAAGCCATAACGCTCTTCTAGTTTTGTCTTTGTAGTGTAAGGATGTAGCCGTTTAGCTCTGTTGTTATTTTCATCCCAGTTACCCTTCCCCATGCTAGAATTTAGTAAAAACTTTATATTTTAATCACACATGGACTCTCAGTCTGAATTATTTTACTCAAACTCTGCTGGGCTATATTATCTCTGCTAAATACCATTTTTCAATATCTCACTATCAAAACCCAACAAAAACTAAGATCTTAGATTTCAAAAAGTTGATCACCAAGCTTTCTCAAGAGCAATAGTTGGAGAAAGATTGCAGGGCCCTTTGCAAACCAGCTTTAGTTTAAGACAGGATCACAGCATCATCTGAATAAAGCAGAATAGGTACACCAATCTCAGCTAATTTTGGTGGATGGCAGCAGTCATCAAAAATTGATCCTGCATCATTTAAATATAAGTTAAACAAGAAAGGCACCAACAAACATCCCTGATGTACCCCCTTTTCCAAATTTGATGGATTTGTTAAGTTCCCCTTATACCCACATTGCACTTGGGTAGTCAAACCCGAATATAATCATTGAATAAGTCCTAGAAGTCTTTTATCCATACTAGTTTGAGTTTGTCTAATAATCTGGAACAATTCATAGAATTGTTGGCCCTCTTAAGATCAATGAAAGCTGCATATAATCACCCTTCCTTAAAAGATGAATATTTCTCAGCCAAGTGATAAAGAACTAAGAAATGGTCATAAATTGAAGAACCCCACCTCAATCCTATCTGTTCGTGCCCCAAAAGGTTTTCTGATTTCATCCAATCCAAGATGTTTTAATGTATTTACTAGTACCGAGTACACACAGCCCTGTCTCCTACACTCCTCCACCTTGGCGATCCTCTCAGAGTTTTTACAAGGGTCCAGTCCACCTAGTAACCTGTCTCCAGCTACCATCTCTTCTGGCACCTCAGAGAAAGGTGGCTGGAAAACCTGACAAAAGGTTAATGGTTAAAAATAATCCTATTTGATCTCTATTATCTTACTTTCCCACCCTTAACCTTTGCAGTCCAAAATTGTTTTCCCAATCTATTTCTGAGCATGAACTGTTTTCTAATGGAGAGGGAGCCAAAAACATCACCTTTGGCCAAAGAAAGGAGAAATGTAGAGGATGCTTTGTGAAGCACTTATTCTGATGTGACCCTCTTTAGCTGAACAAACCTTTTGATGGTGAACAGTGCCGTCAGGTAGTAGCCAACTTACGGCAACCTCCAAGGGTTTTAAAGGCAAGAGATGTTCAGATGTGGTTTGCAACTGCCTGTCTCTGCATCACGTCCCTAGACTTCCTTAGTGGTCTCCCATCCAAATACTAACCATGGCTGCTTATGCTTAGCTTCTCAGATGACCAGATTGGGCTAGCTTGGGCCATTCAGGTCAGGGCAACTCTCCTCTGAAATTCTTTTGACTGTATCACAGACCTATGCACTGTGTTTGAGAGAGTTAATTTTTTTTTTAAGTGGAAAACAAAATGTGTGTTCCACGGGTTTCTGTTAGTTTCCTATGCTCTCCTCTCTCCTCACTAAAAAGGTAAAGGTAAAGGTTCCCTTGCTCGAAAGCCAGTCCAATCCGACTCTAGGGTTGCGGTGCTCATCTCCGTTTCAAAGCCAAAGAGCCAGCGCTGTCCGAAGACGTTTCCGTGGTCATGTGGCCGGCATGACTAAATACCAAGGCGCACGGAACGCTGTTACCTTCCCACTGAAGTGGTACCTATTTATCTACTTGCAATTTCTTGCTTTCGAACTGCTAGGTTGGCAGGAGCTGGAACTAGAGATGGGAGCTCACTCCGTCATGCCGCACACTCGGGTCTCGAACTGCTGAACTACCGACCTTCCACAGCCTGCAGTTCAGCATCTTAACCACTTGAGCCACCTGTTTAGTTTCTTCCTGTTTTTCATCTGCCAAACTCTTCAAACTCCTTCTTCAGGAAAGGCTCTGCCAAAACCTGTGTTCACACATGCTTTATTGGCAGGGTCCCCAGATGCTTGAAGGGTCAGTTCAGGTATTTTATCACCCTAAGTTAGGGATGCTCATTGCTTCTGGGGCTCACACCAACACCAGCCATATCCAAGCTAACAGGAGCTTGGTTTGGACCCAGCCAACAGCAGCCTAGGCCCTGGAAAGGATGCCTGTCTTCTTCTGTGGCCCCAATAGCTGGGAGCCAGTCCACGCCCTGGGCTGTATCAGCACCAGAGAACAGAAAACAAACCCACAGATTCTGGGAAGCCTGCAATCAGAATTTCCTCCCATTGTACTCGACCCCCCCCCCTTAGGTGTTCAAGGGTGGTCTGCCTTAGAACATGGAGGTCCCATATAGCTCTCTACTGGTTTGTTCTGCCTGAATTTGTCTGCATCTCATCTTTTTTAAAAAAATAATAATTATTATTTTCTCAGAAAAAAGGTGGGGTACAAAAGGGAAAAAGGGATAGGGGAAAATATAATTCATCAGGTTTGTCAAATACTGAGTTATGTATAACAAGTAAGATCAGATGTTTTACCAAATATATTACATATTTCAAATATAGACACAGACATTAAAACATCATATTACAGAATTTTGGGATTGGGAATGAACAAGAACTTTCCTAAGGTTAGCAGTACTCTATTAATGATAACAGTCAGACGCAAGAGGTCATCCTGGCTCCTCCATCTCTCCTTAGGGGCTCTTTAAGAAGTTATGGACCCCGTCGCTGTCGGCGGCGGCAGCTGCAAAGGCCGCGGGCTGGCGGGCAACATTTCCCCGGCTCCCGGTGGCCTTGGACTCCTAGGGGCAAATTGCCTATGGGCATTCGCTGTCCACTCATGTATTCCCTATGGGCAATCGTCGCTTGTTCTTAGTTTTAGTACGTCCCGCGGAATCCTCCTCCTCTTGCTCAGGTGAGGCCCCGGCCAGACCAACTCCGGCGACGATGGGCGGTGGCAACATTCCGGGGAGGAGGAAGGCGTTCCTTCCGTCAGCTGACCGGGGCAAGGCGAGGGAGAGCGGCGGCGAATACAACAGAAGCTTCAGGGCGGGCCGGGTGCCTTGGAGGCGAAAAAGTAATTTTGCTCGGCCTTGCCCAGGAAACATTCGCGACGCGTTGTGGCTCCGGTAAGCCGACAGGCATGTTCTGCCGGGGCTGGGAGAGGTGGCGGGGTCACACAACGCTTCCGAGCCGCAGAAGCTGCCCATGGAAGGGATCCGCGGGCGAGTCGAGGGCGCAGGTGCCCGCTAGAGGCCTGCGTGCGCTGTGACGCGCGCAAGGAAAACGAAAGTAGGCACGTCGCTGGCCGGGCCCGGCGTAGGAGTGGTGGGGCGACCTGCGTCGCTTCCCCCGGACTCTGGAGGGGAGCCGGGCAGAGCTGAAAAGCCCTTCGCGCGGCCGAGCTCTCTACTCCTGGCCCCTTGTACAGACCACAGGTCATCCGCTCCCTAAGGCTGGGCCGTCTCGCTATGATTGCTAACAGTCCGGCGGGAAATAAAATGACCTGTCCCTTTAATAGAGTCCTAATAGGTGCTGATGCTTATTTACCTCCACGCCATGAAAAGTTTCACCTGCCTATTTTCAGGCATTACGCCTCTCCTACAGGGACAGGACATTTTTCTCCAGGCGTGTTGGCAAGTCTGCCTTCCAGTATTCGGGCCTTCCCATGAAATTAAGCCTAAAATGATCAGCACAGGCAGAATGAAGTGGTAGGCTGCTGGTGGAGTCTGGAGTAGACATTTTTCATTGCTGGTTTGGGTTGAGATAATGTTTCAGTTTTTTATGTGTGTCATTTTTTTCATCCCCCCCCAAAAAAATCCGGCATGCACATCAAAGGGAAATTGTCTGAATTTGCCATTCTTGTGCAACTTTACTGTTAGAGAGGATTTTTTTAAAAAAGGGAGGAGCATTAAGAATGAGAGTCCTCCCACCTTTGGTCTGAAGTGGTGCAACCTATAATTCAGCTTCATTTTCTGACAAATGACTGCTCTCTGACAGCCAGTTGGGTGTAGTGGTTAGGAGCGTGGACTGTAATCTGGGAGAAGGGGGTTTGATGCCCCACTTCACATGCAGCTGCTGATGTGACCTTGGGTCAGTTACAAGTTATTTCAGAGCTGTTCTCTCATGAGCTGTTCCAAAAAGAGCTCTCTCAGCCCCCCCCCCCACTTCACAGGGTGTCTGTTGTGGGGAGGGGAAGGGAAAGGAAATTGTAAACTGATCTGACTCATTTGGGTAAAGATGGGCGGGGTATAACTCCAATATCTTCTTCTCTTCTTCCTCAGTATAACAAAGGCTCAGCTAGGTTCAAGGGTGGCCTGTGCACATGCAGTGCAGAAACTTCTTCCGCCTAGCAAATGGTGTACAGGCCATATGCAGATAATTCAGTTCTTGCCTGTGTACTATGTTCTGACTCACAAAACCTGCTGCTGGAAGGAATTTGGTTAATCTTTAAATTGCTTCCAGGCTCCTGTTTTATTTAGACTACAGGCAGCTCAGTGCAGTGATAATTGTGCATGCAGTCATATAGTTTTCTGTATGTGCATGCTCTGGGCAGCTGAAATTGGCCAGGGGCTTCACGCATCTGTACAATTTAAGATTGTACTTCAGGCTCCCCTGCAGTGTTGTATGTAGTCCTGGTTTAACCTTTCAAATCATCTATTGCTCTTTTTGCACTGTTAAAGATACTACAATCGCCAGTGTTCACTAGAGTGGCCTGTGTTATTGGAATGGTCCTGTGTGCAGTAACATGGGTATGTGAGGTCATTGCACCTGAACATTTGTCTGTTTTAAACGTATCCCACCTTCTCTCCTTAGGCTCAAGGCAGGTAGCAATAAGATGCAGAAATATTAAAAACAAGGTTCAATCTCATATGGACCTCCCCCCCTTCCGGTTGCCCCATACATGCTCACTTTCTATAGGAGTATTACCATATGGTGAACTTCTCATTTGTGTATAAGTGCTTTTTAAGCAGAGTTTGTCATCTTGCGATGTTGCCACAAGCACCAAAGGACACCGTTCTTTCTGAAATGTCATGCTTGTGGATGGGGTTTATATGCCTGGAGAATGTGTCCTTACTGGTGCTTGTTCTCAAACAGAATGTACCTTCTCTCCCAGTGTTCTTCATCCCAAGGGTTGGGTCCTTTCCCTGGGTCACAGTGCCCCTCCTTTTTGGCTGTCTTTTTGAAGAACCCATCCGCGTGCAGAGAGCAAGGATGCCCTTTGGTGTAGTGGTTAAGTGTGCGGACTCTAATCTGGGAGAACCGGGTTTGATTCCCCACTCCTCCACTTGCACCTGCTGATGTGACCTTGGGTCAGTCACAAGCTCTGGCACAGCTGTTCTTGAAAAAGAGCAGTCTGTGTCAGAATTCTCTCAGCCCCACCTACCTCACAGGGTATCTATTGTGGGGAAGGGAAAGGGAAAGGAGTTTGTAAGCTGCTCTGAGACTCCCTTGAGTAGTGAAGGGCGGGGTATAAATCCAGTCTCTTCCTCTTCTTCTTCTTCTCTGTTTGTGTGCAAGCTGAATGAAGCCAGGCAAGGTCACAAAATAATGGAGAGGATTCTTCCATAGCTGCGCCTTTTGACTTGTGTTTCCTGTCCCAACTCTCTTGATCTTCTGCCCTTGACACTCCAGAGGGTCCTAACTGTGTTCCCCCCCTTCCTGTCACATGACTGATTGCATCTCAGTGAGGCCTGTGTTCAGGGGATCCCAAGTCTGGAAGAGTTGGACCCACTGTTCTACCCAATTTAGGGTTTATGGTTAAATAAAAGAAGCAAGAATGTAGCTTCATATAACTTTAAGCTATTAGATTAGTCACATGCAAAATTTAGATAGCAGTCCATCAGACGTGTATTGTAAGTGTATTTTCTTTTTTCTCCTGCAGAAATCATCTCAATGTCCAAGAAGATGATCAGCTGCCCTACAGAAACCAAGCAGTGCAACCAGACTGAGGTGGAAAATGGACACCCCACTCTCTTGCCTCCTACTTGTGGCACAAACTCGGTGGAGGAGATGGTACAGCAGATGAAAGAACTCATCACTGAGAATAATGAGCTGAAAGGTGAAAATTGGGTGCACTTTCTCTTTCTGACCCTGACCCTGTGTTGATTTGTTTCTAAAGTAAACTTGGTATTTCCTGGAATGTTCAGCATCACCCCTCTGCTATGGAAATCACTTGGTTTCTCTCTCTTTCTGCTTAACCTCCCTAATGGGGTTGTTGTGATGATAGGATGGAGGAGCCGTATATGCCACTCTGAGCTCTTGGAAGAAGGGCAGGATAAATATGTACTAGATAGACAGACTAGGAGGAGCTGATTGCTGTTTTGCAAACCTCTGAGAGCAGCGCTGGTAAAAAAAGAATGTGCAAGGCTAAGCATGGCTTGGAAAACACACGTCCAGATTCCTGGAAAGATTTTTGATATATAGGGAATTGGCTTGGGTGAGTCAGTCTTCTGGTACAGACAGGAAAAGTCATGGCCAATGCATGTTTTTAGGCGGGGTGACAGAAGGAGGTACGCTGCTGAATTTTCAGCAGGTGATGAACCCCTGCCGATTGCTGACACTTTTGCAGAGCATCAATAGTTTGCTCTTCCCCTTTGCCTTGCTCCGCCTTCCCTTCAAAAGGCTCATTGGCTGGCTGGTCAGAGCTCTGGCCTGGTGGCTCCCACACATCACTTTTAATTTTCAGTGTAAGCATAGGAAGAAACTTGCCATGAATCGAATGTGCACTTTAGCCTGAAGTGGCTTTTTAAAAGGGTAAGATAATTCCAAGAGGGGAAAGTTAATCAATAGCTATCTGCCGTAGCAAACAAAAATGGAATCCCCACGTTCAGAGGCAGTGTGCCTTTGATTTTCTGATTCAGGGGTAGAGAGGGGTTGGCCTGTTGCACCCTGCTTGAGTGGCCGCTGTGAGAGATGGAATCCCGGACTACTGGCCCTGGTCTGATCCAGCAAGAGCATTCTGAAGCATGATGCTGGGAGGCTGTTCTGTGCCAGGAGAGGCCCATTCTGGTGGAGTGAAGTGAGGGAGTTGTTTTAATTTGGGGGCTCAAGATAACATTAAGAGCATTAGAATCAGGCCTGGTTTTCCAGCTTCATCATGCTAGCAAGGCCCCCCTCTTTGCCTCTGTATATAAAAAGGGACAGAGCAAACGTATCTGGCAGGGAGTGGCCGCAGGCTTGGGCAGCAACTCTGTGGCATGTCTGGCCTGACCAGAAGTATACATGGTCAGTCCAGAGGTGATATCAGGCTGCTGGCAACAGAGTGGCTGTACTCCGCACACCAGTCAGAGCTCAGAGGGGAGCACAGTGAAGCGTTCAAGGTTGGATCTGGCAATGGGCAGGAGCCTGCCAGCAACAGCCAGTCTCTCAGCCTGGGGGGGGGGGGGGTAAGCAGAGAGGAAGCTCCAGGGGAGCTGGCCCAATCACCTGGAGGCTGTCTCTGGAGAGTGAAGTCTCTGCAACACTGGGCAGTGGGGACCTCTGTTGCCAGGCCTGAGGAGAAAAGAGTGACTGTAAGTAAGGGTCATGAGCAGTGTTCCCTCTAAGCTGAGTTAGTGTGAGCTAGCTCACAGTTTTTTACCCTCCGACTCACACATTTTTTGCCTTAGCAAACTAATTTATACAGTAGCCTAATCGCCCGCTCACAACGTTAATGCCAGGAGCTCACAAAGTAGAATTTTTGCTCACAAGACTCCACAGCTTAGAGGGAACATTGGTCATGAGCCTGTAACCCTCTCAGTGTAAAGATATGAATGAAGGCAGTTCCTTAAGGCTCATTAAGAGAGTGATATCCTCTCTAGACAAGTGAGGGGGGAGGGGGAGAGATGGGGGCAGTGCTGCCTTCCCTCACTTGCCTTGTCTAGTTAGAAGGTAAATCTGCAGCAGTATTTCCCTGTGGCTGCCTTTAAGAAACAAGCCTAGGTAATTGTTATCTTGACATGTTTTGGGAAGGAGAGACCTGCTTTTTTGATGCTGCTTTTTGTACTGTTTTATTTAGTAGGACTAAAATCTATTCTTAGTTTATTTACTTCATTTACACCTCACCCTGTCTTCCAATGGGAACCCAAAGTTGCTTACATCTTCCTCCTCATCTCTGTTTTATCCTTACAACAACCCTGTAAGGTAGGTTAAGCTGAATGAACGTGACTGGCTCAGGGTCACTTTGTGAGCCTTCATGGCAGTGGGGATTTGAACCTGGCTTTCCCAGTTCATAGTCCAACACTCTAACCACTACACCATGCTGGCTCTCGCATAAATATTTACTTGATTCAGCATGTTGAGCTAAACAACAACAACAGAGCACAGATGGGAACATGAACCAAATAAACAAATTTCTCCCAGCATCTTAGGGCAATTACAGATGAAGTGCTTTATGAGTATCAGATGTAGTGAGCTGGGCTGCTAGCATCCAGGTTCAAGGTATTTTGTTAACTCAGGCAAGATACACCCTCCTTGGACCCACATGGTGGCAGTGTGCAGTGCATTGACGCATTCCTCATTGTTCCACACCAGGAAGTGGCTTGGCTGGGAGACAAGTCCTGCCAGCAGCTGGTGAGCCATGCAGGAGCTGTGTTGACTCTGAGCTCTCCCACCTCCTGGCTAGATCAGGGGCCCAGCCCCATATAGCCTTCTGTGCTACCTGTTGGAAACATGGATGGATCGCTTTTAAAATGTTTAATTCAATTTGTGTATGTTTTATTGAAATGTTTTATTGAATGTTGTACACCACCCTGAGCCCTATGCACGGGACGGTGGTCTATAAATCAATTCAATAACAACAACAACAACTTTGGAGGCTGGGTTTGTGGCATGCAGGTGGACACAGCTTCCACTGCTTGCCTTTAGTTATCTCAGTGAGTGAACATGGCAATGAGATTTGTTTATAGGCATATTCAGCTTCACCAAGACTGCTTCTTTGAGGGCTGGAGGATTGAAAATGAAAGGTCTAGATTATTGCATTGGTTTCCCCCACATACAATAGCTGGTGAAGTAAAAATTGACCCAGAGAACTGGACTTGTACATTTGAACATAAAATCAGCTTTCCAACACAAAAGTTTGTTTGTGGCTTCATTCCTCCTCTCTCTCTCCCCCCCAATGTAATGTCATTTGGGGTGCTGTTACATTGGAACACACCAGTGCTGTATTTCTATGTGCCCTTCAGAAGCTATGAGGCAACGCAACCAAGCAATGAAGGATCGCTTTGAAGAACTTTCTGTGTGGAGGGAGAAACTGAAAGAAGAGCGTGGGTTTTATGAATCCAAATTCAAGGAAGCTCGGCACTGTTTGGCAGCCAAATGTGTTGAAAATGATATGCTTAAAAAACAACTCCAAACTCTTGAAGAAAGGAAGGAAGGATTCACAAATGTAAGTAAAACCAGAGGGGGAAGGGGATGCATGTTGCATGCATCTAAAAAACGGAACGAGTCAGTCAGCAATCTTTATCAAATGTTTGTTTTGTTTTATTTACAAAAACAACCAGGGCTACAGTTTATTGTTAAAAGGCAAAATGTATATACAGTGACACAATATAGTGTCAGTAGAATATTCATTTTTTCACATTTTTATTAGATCCATAAAAGAATTGTAGAGATTAACGAAGGGAGTTTTGTTCTTCTGTCTTCCTTGCCATTTGTGAATGTGATAGTGAGGATGAGAAGGTTCCAGATTCTTCTTTGCTAAGGGCGCCAACCAACCTGCATCAACAGCCTCAGAGGAGGATTCCCTTATCTCTGAGAGTAGAACCCCTACGGCAGGCCAGGTTCTACTGTTGCATGGACTGAAGCAGCTGGCAATGAGTCTTGGCTTCACACCGTCACTTGGTATTGTATTTCTGTGGTGGGGAGCATCAGGTACTCAGCTAAACTGGGCTGGCCCTGCCCAACAAGCTTAAATATACAGTTGAACAGCCTTATTTATTTCTTTATTTAGAATATTTCCATGCCGCCTCTCCAGTGTCCTGCCTTTGATCATAGAATCATAGAGGAGAAACTGGTTACTGCCTTCCCATTTGGGACTAGATTCCAGACTCTGCTGGGAGCTGCCTCCTTCTGTTTTCCTGTAGCCTGCCCCACTCAGCACAAATCCTCTCTTAACACCTCCCAACGGTTTCCTGCTCCAGACCAGCTGCACTGCTTCTTTGAGAAAATCCATATTAATTAGTCCATATTAAGAGGAAAAGCTTGACAGAATTTAGAAGAACATGTTCTCAAATTGCAAGCTACTCATGGCATCTCCATCCATGGTTAATTTCAACCAAGAGTTGAATAGAGATGGTTTGCCCTTGCCTTTCTCTACATAGCAATCCCAGTCTTCCTTGGTGGTCTCCCAGCCAAGTACTGACCATGACCACCCCCTGCTTAGCTTCCAAGCTCTGACAAGCCTGGGCAAAGCTGGGCTATTCAAACTACTTGACAGGATTTAAAAAGGTAAAGGTTCCCTTGCTCGAAAGCCAGTCGAATCCGACTCTAGGGTTGCGGTGCTCATCTCCGTTTCAAAGCCGAAGAGCCAGCGCTGTCTGAAGACATTTCCGTGGTCATGTGGCCGGCATGACTAAACACCAAGGCGCACGGAACGCTGTTACCTTCCCACCAAAGTGGTACCTATTTATCTACTTGCAATTTCTTGCTTTCGAACTGCTAGGTTGGCAGGAGCTGGAACTAGAGACGGGAGCTCACTCCATCTTGCGGCACCCAGGTCTCGAACTGCTGAACTACTGGCCTTCCACAGCCTGCAGTTCAGCGTCTGAACCACTTGAGCCACCGCAGCTCCATTGACAGGATTTAGTGCCTGGTATAATAGCAAGATCAGTGTATTATTTAATTAGCATTTCAGTGTACTCTGAACTGCCACTTTCTGCAATAGTATATAATAGGCTTGGACTAGGGTTAGTGTTTTAAACACAATTCTTACATTGTCTTGGGGATACGCCTAAGATTTTTTTTAAAAAATGGCTCAATGTGTAACATGAGATAAATGTGTGTTTGCAAATAAAAGTGCACTCAGTAGAGAACCAGAGTTGGCTGCAGTTCCATTTGGGTGTTTATACTGTTGCTGCTGCTTAATGTCTTGGGTGGCTCCAGTTCCTTCTGTGGCTGCTCTTGCGTAACCTCATCTTGTGATTGCTTCTCCTCTTAGGAATACACAGTTTACCAGAAGGAGATGGCCCAAGAACTGGAGCAGCTGAAGATGCAAGTGACAAAGCTCCAGGCAGAGAAGGCTGATCTGGTGGCCATCATTTCAGAGCTGCAGCTGAAGCTGAACAGCGCAACCACTGAAGACTCATTTGTTGAGATCAGGATGCACGTAAGCAGCATTTGGCACCTGTGTGAGATGCCATCCGTCAGGTGTTACAGGTGGGATGTGGGCCTATTGCTCAACAAACCTGAAATTAAGAGCTGCAGAGCTTAAGTGTCAGTCTTGGCAATGGGATGGTTCTCTTTTGGTCAGGTTTAAACCTGCCTCTAAGTACCACTTTTCTTGTAGCCTGGAGGCTCAAGCATGAACACATGAAACTGCCTTATACTGAATTAGGATAACTACAACAATAGAGAACCACAGCTCATAATACCATGCAAAAGAAAGACACAAAAAAAATCTGTGTAAGATCCAGAATTGCAACATTTAGAAAATTCAATGCTGTATTGTAATACAAGTCCAACAATCATATATATGTGTGAGGAGAGGTCCAAAATGGTAGACTTAATGAAATTTTCCGGATTACATAAGTTGTTTCGCAATCTTCATTTGAACAGGACCATGAATATCTTTTCACAGCTGCAAAACATTTTTTGTGTGCTTTTTTGCACTCATTTGCTTTGATGGCCCGACTCCAATTATAGACGTACTTTGCTAGTATGGGAAATTGTCGATTGACTTGTTTACAGAATCATACAGCACACAAAAAATGAAGTTTTGCAGTTCTGAAAAGATATTCATGGTCCTATTCGAATGAAGATTGCAAAACGACTTTGTAATCCAGAACACTTAAGTTAACTCTACCATTTTGTACCTCTCCTCACACACACACACATATATATGATTGTTGGACTTGCATTACAATACAGCACTGAATTTTCTAAATTTTGCAATTCTGGTTCTTAGCGCATATACACAGCTTTCTTTGTGTCTTTCTTGCATTATACTGAATAAGACCATCAGTCTATCAATGTCAGTATTGTATATTCATACTGGTGGTGGCAGCTGTCTAGGGCCTCAGGCAGACAAAGATCTTTCACATCACCTGCCACCTGATCCTTTTAACTGGAAATGCCAGGGGTTGAACTTGGGGCCTTCTGCCTGCCAAGGGGATGCTTTACCACTGAGTCATGCCCTCTCTCCACAGCCCCACTACAAGTTTACTATCTCAAGTACTGCCCTGCACCTTACTCTTCTTACCCTTTTTACTTTTTTTTGTTGTTGTTGTTTGCACCTCTGCAGCTTTCTTTTGTATGAGGCAGATGCAGGCTGGAGTTGGATGGTTTATCATTGTGGGAAAGAGCCTTGGAAATCTTCAGGCTTGCGTGTGTTCTCTCCCTCCCTCCCTGTTTAATGTGTGGCTCTGAAATAAATCACTTCTCCATTCCTGGCAAACTACAGTTTGTCATTTTGTCCAAATAGCAAACTATGTTCTGTTGCCTCCAAGCCAGGATTCCAAACAATGGTTTAATCCTGGCTTAGAATCCTGACATGGGGAAAGCGGAATAAATCATAGCTGGGCCAAATTATGAACTATGGTTTGCTGCAAATGTGGAAGTGATTAAAATGCAAGTTGCAAATGAGGGAAGAAGAAAAGGGACATGTACGCCTTGTGTGCAGTAAGGAGGCAAATTCTTGCTGCTGTTCATAGTGGAAGGGCTAGAACTGGAGTGACTCAGGTGGACAGATCCAGTATTGCAGACCCTTCACTCCATTCAAAATGCAGTCCTTATTAAAAATTGTAGTTAACCAGAGCAATAAAATGGGGAAGAGAGACTGAATTTTGTTTAGCATAGTGGGGTCAAGCTTGGAAGCATCCACACTGTTTTCAAAAACAAACTCTGCAAGTTTGCAGGAGACATTCCTTGTAGATGGCTGAGAGACCTCCTAAGAGTTCTCTATGTATTATGCCAGTCTTCAGCCAGTGATTGCTGACAAATGGTCTAGAGAAAGTAGGGCCTGCTGGCTTTTTGTGAGACACATTCTGTCTAACCACTTTCCCCCCACACATAAGGAAAAGAAAATAATATTGAAAGACTCAAGATTCCGCATCTTAATACTGTACTGACATCTTTCTGGTTTCTGCATGCAATGCATTTGCCTTTTAACTGCTAGCAAGCACTGATTTTATTATGGATCTTCACCAGCCACCAGGGGGTTGAATTGTTAGCAAAACACACTTCTGCTCTTCGTGCCACTGGACGGGATAACCTGGATCTTTTCTGCTTGCTGAGGCACTTTCCTCCAGCAGAAGGAGCTTTCCCCTGACATAGGAGAACAGATCTATAGGAATCTAATCCACCGTTTGGAAATGTATTGTACTTTTCTCCAGTGAGAACACAAGCAGTATCTGTCTCTGCTTTAAAGAATGTTTTGAATGCATGTTTGCATTCAAAAGCTTCAGCTCCACCCACCCTCTTGTTCAGAGTTTCCTATAAAACAGTATTCTGCCCTGTAGAAGCAGTTCTTTCTTTGCTGAAGATCTCCACTTTAGAAGTGTCTTGGTTTCTCTTGCCTCCTGTTTGCTCTGTCTGGTACTACTCAAACCACCCAGCCCACAGCACTCTCTTCCTTTCTCCCCCCCCCCCCCAAAAAAAACTGTCCTGGTCAGTTACACACAAGTTTATTTATTTATTATATTTATTCCCCGCCCATCCTGCAAGCAGGCTCAGGGCGGCTAACAAAGCGGTACAATGTACCTAATTGGCATACCCATAAGAAGTCTTTAAACTATATAAAACCACATAAAACATAATCATTCAAGACATAAATTAACAGTTAACAGTAAAGTGCATACAGTACTGAAGATTAGATGGCGTGCTTCCAGATCTCAATCCGTGTTATTCATCTAATCATCATCCCTCATGCGATATATCTGGGCCAGACCTAGGATCCAAGCATTCACTAGGATCATTGATGGTAATAGTAGTGGTGGCTCCTATTGAAAGGCCTGGCGGAAAAGCTCCGTCTTACAGGCCCTGTGGAACTGTAAAAGGTCCCGCAGGGCCCTGATCTCCTCCGGGAGCTCATTCCACCAGTAAGGAGCCACCACAGAAAAGGCTCTGGTCCTGGTACTGGTGAGCCTTGCATTCTTGGGGCCTGGAATAGTCAATCGATGTTGGGCCCCAGACCGTAGTGCTCTGGGGTATATATGGGGAAAGGCGGTCCCTCAGGTAGGTCGATCCCTGGTCATGTAGGGCTTGTTGTTTACTCTGGCTTGAATACTATTGGGAAGTGCACTGGCACACAGAAGGAAAGTCTGTTCTTCCCAACCCGCATCAGCACCATTTCCCCAGACCCAGTCCCCTACATGGCGACTATTTCCCTGCTCATCACCTGAGAGCTTTTCTTTAAAAAATCAGTGATTGAATATTGGTAGTTATAGTGTTATTTATTTATTTATTTATTTTTGTTGATTTCTATCCCACCCATTTCAGCCTAGGCTGGCTCAGGGCGGCTCACAACAGAATAAAATGTACATAAGATAAAACACAGTTCATCACATTAATAAATAACACAATAATATAAAACAGTGTTAAAATCAACAATATTAAAGTGCTAGCATTTTCAGTATTACCTAAGATTCTATTGGTCTGCTTCAGTTGTAGAAGAGAGGGGAGGGACTGGGCCAGGCAGTAGTCACAGGGACCTATGGCTCAGGACTTCCACCATGACAATCAGTTGTTAGTAGTAACACCACCAGTAGATGCAGTTCTAATAACGGTGATAGTGGTGGTGGTGGTGGCGGTGGCTCCAAAGGCCTGGCGGAAGAGCTCCATTTTGCAGACCCTGCAGAACTGTAAAAGGTCCCGCAGGGCCCTGATCTCCTCTGGGAGCTCATTCCACCAGAGTGGAGCTGCCACCAAAAAGGCCCTGGCCCTGGTTGTTGCTAATCTGGCCTCCTTGATGCTTGGGAGGACCAGTCGGTCCTGGGTCCCTGAACACAGTGCTCTCCGGGGCATGTATGGGGAAAGGTGGTCCCTCAGGTATGTCGGACCCTGGCCATAAAGGGCTTTATAGGTAAGATCTAGCACCTTGAAGCGAATCCGGTATGCTATAGGCAGCCAGTGCAACGCCTTTAAAACAGGCTGGATGTGCTCCCGAATTGAGAGTCCCATCACCAGCCTGGCCACAGCGTTTTGCACCAGCTGCAGCTTCCAGATTTGCGCCAAGGGCAGCCCCATGTAGAGGGCATTACAGTAATCCAATCTCGAGGTGACCATCACGTGGTAAAAGGCTGACTTGGCAGTGGCCGCAACCTGGGCCTCCATTGTTAAGGAGGCGTCCAGGAGCACCCCCCAGACTCCTAACCTCTGGCGCTGGCACCAATGGTGCCCCATCAAAGGTTGGAAGCAGGAACCCCACCCCCGGACTGCCGCAACTCAGGTACAGGACCTCCGTCTTTGTCGGATTCAGTTTCATCTGGCTCAGCCTAAACCAGCCAGCCACGGCTTGTAGCGCCTGATCTAGGACTTCCAGCTTGGAGTCAGACTGGCCGTCCAACAACAGATAAAGCTGGGTGTCATCCGTATACTGATGACACCCCAGTCCATGCCTCTGGGGAATCTGGGCAAGAGGGCACATATAGATGTTAAAAAGCATCGGGGACAACACCACCCCTTGTGGCACTCCACATTCCAGTGGGTTCCTCCAGGACAGCTGATCCCCCAGCGCAACTCTTTATCCCCGACCTTGGAGAAAGGAACAAGCCACTGTAAGGCTAGTCCCTGGATTCCAGTGTCGGCGAGGCGGTGGATCAGTAGCTGATGGTCGACCGTGTCAAATGCGGCCGACAGATATAACAACAACAGCACTGCCGATCCACCCCAATCCAGATTCCTTTGGAGGTCGTCTGTGAGGGTGACCAGTGCTGTCTCCGTCCCGTGCCCAGGGCGGAAGGCCGACTGGAAGGGATCTAAAATAGAAGCGTCATCCAGAAAGCTCTGTAACTGAAGTGCCACCACCCTCTCTATTATCTTGCCCAAATAGGGCAAGTTGGAAACGGGCCGATAGTTGGCCAATTCGGTCTGGTCCGAAGATCGGTTTTTCAAGAGGGGGCGCACGACTACCTCCTTAGGTGCCCCCGGGAACTGTCCCTGAAAAAGAGACTTATTGACAATCTCCCGTATGGCGTCCCGTAGCCCCTTGTGAGCTGCTTTAATTAGCCGGTGAATGGGATGGATTAACTTCAAAAAATTCGATTCACTTTGCAGGGTGTTTGATTGAAAGTTGTTTTTGTTTTCGTTTTTCACAGGAAGGAGAAGTAAATGGATCTTTGAAAGAAAATCCAGAGCTGAAGGGCAAGAAGAAGGGGGACTCGGCTACCTGTGTGTAAGCAGAGGTCTTGTCGTCTCCCCAATACCTAGTTTTATTTTGTACTGTCCTCTGTTAGAGAAGGTATTTAAAATCAGAGTTCAGTAGCAAGTACCATAGTGCCATTTATAGCAATCTTTGGGTGACCACATCTGGAACTCAGCAGTTCCCAATGCGGATAGATCAGTTGTGCTTTGGCATGCACACTTGGACCAATTCTGTGAGTTGCTATTTCAGAACATCAGCTCACAGAATCCGGGGCTTGAGAGCCTCCTTCTTTTTCAAGCTCTGTGTGATCTCTAAGGCCATCCTCTGTCTCAGTACAAATTCATTCATTCCCTGAATCCTTTCTACATCTAGCTGCCTTGTGAAGAGTTTTACCTACTGTGATCTGTCAAGGGAGAATGCCAGCTTAAGTCTAAAGAGAAAAATAATTTGCAATGGAAAGAACACCCCATTCTCCTTCCTAATAGAAAAGAAAGTTTGCAGTTTTGCCCCATGCAGATCAGTGCATGCGGCGCTCTTTATTTGGTTTGTCATCTGTGTGTGGAGACCATTCCCAGTAAAAGGTCTGTGGGGTTCCCCTCTCAGAGGAGGACTGGTCATGTTACATCTTTTTAAAGTGCATTTCCCTTATCCTGCATTGTTTGTTCCGAGTTCTGTTGCTGAAGTTAAGATTGGCTGAGTATTGAGCTGTATTCTGTTTCCCACTTTCTGTCCTAACAGTAGCCTCTTGTACAGAATATAGGTTGCATATCAATGCAGTCAGGTTTTGTGGCACGCCCATTTCATTTAAACCAGCCATAGCTTTTCATGAACCACACAGTCCTATGAAAACAAGCTGATTTTCTTCTGAAATTCTCTTATATTCTCCAATAACTGTTGTACATTTGCAATGTGATCTTTAGTGCATCTTCCTTTTCTGAATCCAGCTTGAACATCTGGCATTTCTTGTTCTAGATATGGTAACAGTGTTTGTTGTAAGATTTTGAGTGTCACTTTACATGCATGAGAAATTAATGCGATGGTCCAATAGTTGCTGCAGTCTTTGATATCTCCTTTCTTCAGAACTGGAATATAGGCTGAGTTTTCCAGCTTCTGGGGCATTGTTTTGTTTTCCATATTTGTTGGCATATTCTTCTTAAGATTTTAATGGATTCCATTTCTGTGGCTTGAAATAGCTCCATTGATATTCCATCCACTCCTGGTGATTTGTTTCTCCCAATTTTTTTGAGAGCTGCTTTCACTTCACTCTCTAAAATTGCAGATTCTTCTTCGAAGGACTCTGTCATCCTTTCATCTCTTCTGTATAGTTCTTCAGTGTATTGTTCCCATCTTTTCTTTATCTTGTCCTGTTTAGCTAATGTATTTCCATGTTGACCTTTCAGCATGCCTTAACTGTGCTTTAAATTTCCCCTTGATTTTTGTATCTTGTGGAACAGATCCCTTGTTCTTCCTTTTTTGTTGTTCTCTTCTATTTCTTTACGCCGTTTATTATAATAGTTCTCTTTTTCTCTTTCTGATAGTCACTGGAATGCTGCATTTAGAATTCTGATTCTATTTCTGTCACCTTTTGCATTTAGAAGAAGAAGAGATTGGATTTATACCCCACCATTCACTCGAAGCCTCAGAGTGGCTTACAAACTCCTTTCCTTTCTGCTCTCCACAACAGACACCCTGTGAGCAATGCATCCTCTAAGCTGTGGAGTCTTGTGAGCAAAACTTCTCCTTTGTGAGCTACTGGAATTAAAGTTGTGAGCCAGCAATTTGGCTACTGCATAAATTAGTTTGCTCTGGAGCCATCTTTCCTGAGCTAAGACAAAACTGTGTGAACCGGAGACTTAAAAACTGTGAGCTAGCTCACACTAACTCAGCTTACAGAGAACACTGCCTGTGAGGTAGGTGGGGCTGAGAGAGCTCTTTCGAGAACTGCTCTTTCAAGAACACCTCTGACAGAACTTGCCCAAGGTCATCCAGCAGCTGCAAGTGGAGGAGTGGGGAATCAAACCTGGTTCTCCCAGATTAGAGTCCATGCACTTAACCTCTACATTAAATTGGCTCCTTGTCTATCTGTAGCAATTTTAAGAATTTTATCAGTCATCCATTGAGGCTTTGCATTTCTTTTGGCTACACACATTCTTGATAATATCTCTGGTTTCAACCCATAGTTCTTCTGTTAATTGTTCACTTTTACTTAGCAATGTAAATCTGTTCTTTACATGGTCTTTGAACTCTTCAAGAATGTTGCTTAGATTGTATTTTGGCACTATTAATGTTTTGGTGTTTTTCTTCAGCTTTATTTTAATTTTCAATATTAGCATTTTATGGTCTGTATCACAATCAGCTCCTGGTGTTGTGTTAGCAGAGAGAATAGAGCTTCTCCATCTTCTGCTTCCAATTATATAATCTATTTGATTTATATGTTGGCCATCTGGTGATGTCCACATAAACAGTTGTCTGTTTGGTTGCCCAAAGCATATGTCACAGAATTCTCTGAGTTGCTCTCCTGCTTCATGTTGTTCTCCTAGCCCAAATCTGCCAAACAATATTTGATTCCACTTTGTTTCCCACTTTTGCATTCCAGTCACCTGTGATTATCAGCACATCTTGTTTAGGTGTGTGATCAATTTCTTCGTATAAAAGCTTTCAGTTTCTTTGTTTCTTTTCAGCATCTGTAGTTGGGGTGTGAACCTGAATGATGGTTATGTTGATAGGCTTTTGTATGATGTCCATGTGTGGATTTCTTTTGTAGACAACTCTATAAATAGAGTACAGTCCTCATTCCTTCGAGCAATTGGAAATACTCCCCAGGTGTATTTCATTTTCAGCCCTTTGTTATGAATTTGGTCTTAGCTCTAGAGAAGCCTGTGCCTGGGTATACATCTTTAATTTTTGGTTTCATCTATTTTTGAGGCCCCTGAGGGGGGAGCTTGATAAGCCTAACCCTCAGGTACTCTTATAAGGCTCCCTGGCTCCTGCTTTTTGAACAGAAGTTATCTCTTGTAAATCTTAGGGTGGAGGATCTTTTTTCTTCCTCTATAAATCAGTGCAAAAAACATGTGGCCAAGCTGATTTATGCTAGAGATAAGAGTTATACTCATTTTGATGCTCTGGGGACATGTTCTCCACTTGCCTTGGGTAAATTCCCTTCTTATTTAGATTCCTTGGTTAGCCCAAAGTTATGTAGTACCTTCATGCATTCAAGATTCAACTGCCCCTTTTCAATGGTATTGCTGGGTTGTCTGCTAAGGATCTCTTTTTCAGATCGGTCATGTCCCTCCCCCCTCCAGTCAGTGGACTCTCTTGTACATATTCTTCTGCAGTGTCTTTACATGCTCCAGTTTAGGCTAAAATGGATTATGCCATGCCTTGATAAATGGGCTATGCTTCCTCTAGTGACGTTAGAGCAAAAGGTTCAGTTCCTGTTAGAGGATTCTGATTCCCAACGTACTTATTTTGTTGCTTGATTTGTAGAGGCTGCAGAGGAGTGTCGAAGGGAGAAGTTTTTAGACATGTTTTTCTGTTGTTTTGTTCAGGACCTTGGTCTAAGAACAGAGAATGGAATGGGAAATAGAATAGGCTTTCTGTGAAGTCTGATATTATTCGATCAGACTTTGCATTATAGCCCGATTGCTTCTGCTGCATCTCACCTCACTATTAGAGCAACTCTGTTTCTTCTGTGTTTGTCATTTCCAGAGTAAAAAAGTCCTAACCCAGTCTGCTTCACTCACTCCCAGGATTGCAATGTTTAAATGTTCCATTGTTTTATGATTTTGAGCTTACCTTGATTCATACTTCTCATATTCCTATTGTATGTGTTGAACAGCTTTGGAATTTCCTTTTGCATCCATTCACATCAATGACTGAATATCCTTTTAGCTTTAATTCAGTTGCATTGTTAAGAACAGTGCTACTTGTACTTGTCCTGTGCTCTTCCTTAGTAATTGATGGAGTGCTATCCGCCCTGGGGGTGGCCTGTCATCCAGCGCTTTATCTTTTTTTATTTTGGAGTGTCCCATGATAGGGATTTCAAGGTATGAGATGAACAGAAATAGTTTATCATTGCCTTCTTCTGCACAGTACTAATCAGGGTTAGGTAAAATGTCACTGCTGTGGTCCATGATAGATCCTCCACCAGTGTCACCTTCCACTACTGTTGCTGTCTAGTAGCTATCTTTCAAGGATTCCTCCACCCCCATCGCTGATGTGGCTGTTGCTTCCTGAAGGGGATGGATGCATCTTAGTCTGGTGTCTCAGCTGTGACCATTCCTCCCTGAGTGCTAGGAGTTTAGCCTCTTGACAAAGTCTGTACTACTTACAGTATTGCTCTCAGTTGCACTGACACACACAGACCCCCATCCCCACATTAAAGTGTGCATCCAGCGGCCTGAATCTTCACTTTAAAGTGGCACAGTCATTGAGACCTAAGATGCTGGCTAGTTCTTCTACAGTGGAACTGTGTGCAATATTGGAACCGGAATTACTTGTTCTGGACCTAGCAAGGAGCTGTGTGCTGTTTTGGAATAACCAGTTTTGGTTTGTGTGTTCTATCAAAGTAAAAGCAGGTCTGCAGATGAAACAAAAACCTATTTGGAGTCTGAAGAATTAACTGTCAGCCAGCTTCTTCATTGCCTCAGGAATGAAACTCAGGGGAGGGAAGCATTGGAAAAGGAACTTCAGGAGCACAAGGACAGGTATTAATAGTAGATTGAATAATAAACTCTGGTGGGTGTGTAGAGATGACTTGTTATAAGACCTAAAGTTAGAACAATGATTCCAGGCACTTCCCTAATGATATCTGTGCATTAATCCTGTCCGGTTGTTAGAAAGCAGAGTAATGCAACTAGATGTTAAGGATTTCTACTTCATACTTTCATAGCATAAGATTTTCCTGCTATTGTTCCCTTGCCAGCTGTTTGTTCTTACTTATATTGACCAGTAATGCCACCCTAAGCTGAGTTAAACCTTTCTAAGTCCATTGAAGGAAATGAGTTTAGGATGGCACTGCTATAGGGCACTGTGTCTGCAGTGATATTCAATCTATGAACCTTAGTGAACATAAAAACAAGAGCTGGCCCTTTCCATCTGGAATACTAATAAACTGGGGAAACAGCTCTGGATTAAGAGGCAAACACCTCAGGAGATTTTGGTCAGTACTCTGCAGGGGCAACAACATGGAATAGAGGCTAAGGCCTTCCCTTCATGTCGCCTCCTGGCACTAGTATTCAGAAGTTACTGCTTCTGAATGTAGAGGTTCATTTTAGTTACCATGGCTAGTAGCCACTGATACATTTGTCCTTCGTGGATCTGTCTAATCTCCTTTTAGAGCAGTTTGTGCCTGTAGCCATCACTACATCCTGTGGCAGTGAATTCCACATTCTAATCACTTGTGTAAAGTAGTATTTCCTTCTTCTGTTCCAAAACCACTGATTACGTGATCTAATAGTGAATAAAAGCAGATTATGTTGTTTGGGTAGTACAGAAGGGCTGAGAAAAGTACAGATTTTACATTCTTGTGGCTCTTCTTGTTGCAGGGGTGGAAAATGGTCAGTAAAATCAGTAAAAGTCAGTTTTTTCATCTTGGTCAGTAATTTGTCAGTTTTTTTAAAAAATTGTTCAGTAAAGTCAGTATTTCTTTGATTTTTGTGAATGTAGGTTTTTTCCTGTTACTGCATTTTGAGGGAGTAAGAAGACAGATTGTTTTCAGTTCAGTTATGAAGTACTTTAAGGATTTTGTTCCTAAGAGCAAAAGTGATTTGGTGAAATCTTCCACAAAGTATAGAAATATAATTAACCTCTTAAAACATGAGACAATGAAAGCAGAGGTGATGTTTTGTTGCACGAGTGCCCGCTAATTTACAAAGTTCACTGGAGTGTTCCAGAAAGAAGAGCCTTTGGTGCATGTGATGCACAGTGAAGTAAAAATACTTATAAGAACCATAATGAATCGTGTTTGTAAGAGTTCAGCACCATTGACTCTTGAAGCCTTCAGTGATGAGCACAGCATACCTGTGAGACAAGTTATCAGTAAAAGTAGAATCTGTGATGAACGGAAAAAACTTTCTGAAAAGGAACAGCTACTCTTTTTAACGGGAGCAAAAAAAAAATTCATAGCAGCCTGCAAACACCTTTTACTCCAGTCATCTTTGGACAAGCCCATCCTCAGATATGTTCAGTGTTTAGCTCCAGCACAGAGAGTCAAGGAAGAAACCCACAAGGATATAATGAAAGTAGCAGCAGCACTCCCAATGGATATTCCACTGGACATGATTGCAGATGAATGGAAACTTCTTAAGACTTGAAGGTGGGGTTTCCGGTTTAAGCGTATTACCGCTCGGACGCGTCCCATCTATCTCTGATGGAGACGCGCCAAGATTCGGCTGACGGGAGGGGTCTGAGCTGGTCCCAGACCCTCCCAGGATCTCCTCAGCCTGGGGAGCTGAGGAGAGCCTCTTCCAAGGTGACAACCAAGGAATTGAGGCTCACCTTTTCCCTGTAAGGTCCCGTCGCTGCAGAGCCAATATGGCAACTAGAGACGATTACTGGAGCAAGCGGACATGATCGAAAGCTTAAAAAATGCTTCTAAAAGATGCCCAAGGCTCCAAACCGTGAGTTAAGCAATGTTCAAGTGTTACAAAGTGAACATGAGCCTTGACAGAAATTAGAAGCGCCTACAAACAAAGCGCGGGTTGAGGGGGAACTCAAGACCCCCCCCCAGTAAAATCTGAAAAGCAGTTTTAAATCGAGAACAAAAGACTTTAAGCTAAACTAAACCGAAGAAATCTTAACGAAGTCAAAAACTGCATGCTAGTATAAAGCTGACTAAAATTGTTCAACTTTTATCTTGTTTTGGAGAACTTACTTCTTGTTGATATTATGGTGGGGAGAGGGCGGAGAACGATGCCGGAGAAGAAATCACTCCCAGGAAATAACCAACGACTCCCTCCCAGAACCAGGAAGTAACTACAGACTTTTCCATATTGCTAGCAAATGCACTGTGCCCTCTAATGGAGCAGATGACGAATCTCAACACTAAATTGGACACGGTCCAAAAACAATTGACTCAAATGGATAAAAGAACCTCAGCTACAGAGAAAACAATAAAAATGATGGGAAAAAAGACTGGATGAAGTGGATGAAGAAAGATCCTCTGACAAAACACAGCTAATACAGCTTCAGCTGGAAAGATCTACATACGTCCTACGTTTCCAAGGGATTCCAGAAGAAAAAGATGAGAACTTAAAGAAACTTTTAGCGGACGCTCTTGTACCACTAATGGATTACAAACGAGAAGAATTATTGAACGAGATGGACTTGGCCTACAGGATTTATCTGGACTTTATAAAGAAAAACAAACTCCCAGGAGAAATTTATTTGAAATTCACGAAATGATCTACCAGGGATCTGGTACTAAAATCCACGATGGGGAAGGCATTAAAAATTAAAAACGAAGATGTAAAAATTCTGAAAGATATCCCCTTTGAAGTAAGGAAGATGAGGAGACTCTACAAGGAACTTACTCTCTTAAAAAAAAAAGGGAATACCCTACAGATGGGTATTTCCTGAAGGACTGAGTTTCAACTATGAGGACAAAAAATTTAAGACTGATTCTGTTCCTAAGGCAAATAAGTTTATGGTCCAATTTTCAAAGACAAATCAAAAGAAAAAAGAAAAGATGAAACTTTCTGCGGGGGAGGAAGAAGATGTCGAAGAATCCTACTCACAGGATTCAACAAGCACTAGTTCTAAATCTTCGGAATCTGAAAAAGTAGCAGCTGCTCCCAAACCTCGGACAGGGAAGAAACGCAAGAAGAAAAGACTCTGAAACAAAGATAGATGTTTATGCAGTTTTTGTGAAAACGATATTCAAAGCTAATTTTTATTCTTAAACCTTTATTTACAATGTTATCTTAATATTAGTAGGTGATTTAGTTAAAAATGCATGTAATCTAGATCGTGTCACCTGTTAGCTCCATTTCCCCAGTTCCCAGTAGAATTGTACTGTTTAGTGTATTAGAGTTCCACTCCCTTACTCCTGTAGTTTTAGTGTTGTAGTAATGGAAAAACAATAAAATCTTTAAAAAAAAAAGACTTGAAGGTGAAACTGCCAGTAAAACTTGCCACATAGATATGTACTGGAATCATCCATCTGGAGGTCCAGAATACCCAATGGTTACCAAGGTGGTGAAAGCAGCAATATCCTTATTGCATGGTAGTGCAGACATAGAAAGAGGGTTTTCAAAATCTGGACACATTTTGGCCAATGAAAGGGCCAGGATGTCAGAGAGAACTTTGAATGCCCATCTAATGGTCAAAGAAACTTTATATCATGTATACGAAAACAAGGTATACCATGTTACTATCACACAGGAGCTTTTAGAGATCGCAAGAGCAGCTCATGTTCATTACAAGAAATATTGTGATTAACAGTGTGTCATTAAAGAGAAGGAGCAAAAAAGAAAGAAAGGGGAAAAGGCAGAGGAGTTAGAAAGGTTTAAGAAGACAGATAGTGAAAAGGATAGTATACAAGAGAAGGAAGCAAAACGTAAAAAGCTGAGACAACAGAACGAGAAGAGGATGATTGCTTGAACACTGCTAAGTGATGCAACCAAACGTGTAAAGGAGGCTGCTGAGAAAAAGGATATTGTGGGATTCAACATGGCACAGCTCATGCTAGAAGGAGTGGAGAAAGCAATGGAAGAAGAGGACAAGAAAAAATGCTTGCGGATGCAGTGCAGAAAACTGTCGAGAAACGAAAGAGTTTGTTAATAACTTATTTTTTCATCAAAAAACCAAAGATAAAGTAAAAGCAAAGGCAAGTCTTACCTTACAGTAATAATGTTTTGTTGTCATAATGATTACTCTATGGTTTTTAATATGTTTTGCTGCTTTATTATCTGCAGTATGTGATTGTTTTTAAAAGTGAATCTTTTGTTGCCTTAAACTTTGTACAATAATGAAAACATTGTCCTATCTTCATTTTAAAAAATTCAGTAGAAAGGTGTGTGATGGCTGTCTATGGGGATGGTGGAGGCCAGATAATAATTTTTAATGACATCCTTGTTTTACTTTTAAAATGCTAGTTTATAAATAGGCTGACATTAAATTGTTCAGTAATTTGTCAGTTTTTAGATAGTATTTGGTCAGTTTTTTTGGAATTTTGGTCAGTAAAATCAGTATTTTTGACCCTCTGACTAGTTTCCACCCCTGTGTTGCAAATCCTTGGCAACACCAGTGAAATACTAACATGTTTAAAACTGAAACTGGCTTCTCACGTTTCACAGGCTGTTGAGGATGGAGAAGAAAGCAGACAACCATTTGGAAAGAGGCACTCAGACAGAACAAGAGGAGAAGAGTGATGACACAGAAGGCAGAGCAGAGAGTGTGAGTACCACTTTTGGGTTCCCACACTGTGATGTGTTCTCATTGGCAGCTTTTGTGTAGATCTGTCATTCTTTCTGCTGGGATCCCCGGATGCTTGTGGTGTCTTCTAATGGAGTGTGTTTCTTCATTCTCTCAGCTCGTTTATTTATTTATTATTTGTATTTATACCCCGCCCTCCCAACGAACTGGCTCAGGGCGGCTTACAGAAGTCGGTACAATGTACCTAATCAGCATAAAACTTTTAAAACATTTTAAAACAGCTTAAAACATTCATAACATTTAAACATTTAAAGTGCTCACAGTATTAATAATTTACATCCAACCACTGATCAGTGCCAGTGCTGATCTCATACACTGTGTTTCAAGAATGTTTCATTGTGACCTTCTGGGTGATGCTTCAGTTTTTCCACTGGGCAAACCCTGAGGAGCACAGAGGTTTGGCCTCCTAGAACTCCCAGTGGCAGTACCTGCAGCATTTCACCAATGCTCCAAATGATCCACTCTTGCCAATATAGACCCCAAATGAGGGAAGGAGGAGAGTTTGCGAGGGAACTCTACTCCGCACACCCATAGACTTCCTGTCTCTTAGAGCCTGTACCTTAGAAGCAGTTTGGTGGCTGACTGTTGGCCCAACTAGACACAATCATCCCTGGGTCCATGTGGCCATTTTGAAAAGTGAAGTCCAGTCTGGGAACTCACTTTAAACCTCTGTGGAGGGCTGATTCTGGTCAGGACCATCGCATCTTAGGGGGAGGAGGGGATCCTGGTTACCCCACTGTTTTTCCTCCCTGAAATGGCACTGGGGGCATTATTTCCCTGCACTTTCCCTACGCACATGTCATTTAAGCATGGCAAATAGTGCTTGGAGGAGGCAAGAGGCCTTCCCTGTGCTGTGGTGGGCTAAACTAGAATTGGGTCCCCATTGAACGGTTTAAAATGACTTCCTGGCTGGAAACTCACTTTTTAAAATGGTGGCACATCCCTGGGATGAGCCTGGGGACACCTGAGACATGTAGATGAGTTTGGTGTAGGAGAGCCAGTTTGGTGTAGTGGTTAAGTGCATGGACTCTAATCTGGGAGAACCGGGTTTGATTCCCCACTCCTCCACTCGCAGCTGCTGGATGACCTTCAGCAAGCCATAGTTCTGTCAGAGCTGTTCTTGAAAGAGCAGTTTCCGTCAGAGCTCTCTCAGCCCTACCTACCTCACAAGGTGTTTGTTGTGGGGAGGGGAAGGGAAAGGAGTTTGTAAGCCACTCTGAGACTCCGAGTGAAGGGTGGGGTATAAATCCAATTTTCTCCTCCTCTTTTTGTTGTTGTTGCTGCCGCCACCACCATAACAGCTAGAGAGCTGAGGAGGTCAATTAAGGGAGAGTTCTGAGAGAAAGGTACACATGAATCTGCCTTGTACTGAGTCAGACCGCTCATCCATCAGGGTCAGTATTGTCTACTCTGGCTGGCAGTGGTTCTCCAGAGTCTCAGGTTGAAGTCTTTCACATCACCTTCTGCCTGACCCTTTTAACTGGAGATGCCATGGCTTGAACCTGCAACCCTCTGCATGCCAAGCAGATACCCTACCACTGAGCCACTGGAGATGGTTGGCTAAAAGAGCTGCCTGAATTCTGAAAGAGCTCTGTTGGAAAGCCAAGAAGACCCTTCCTGAGAGCCAATGGGAAAGCTCTGCCTCAGTGGAGGGAGGTCTCAGTTTTCTGAGCCTGCAGGACAAGGAAATCAAAAGAAAAGGTCACAGAGATGGACCTTGAGAAGGAGGCTCCCACCAGCAGTTATAAAGGGCCTGTTGGAGGGGGTCATTGCCCATCACCTATATGGTAAGGTAAAGGTAAAGGTTTCCTTGCTCGAAAGCCAGTCGAATCCGACTCTAGGGTTGCTGTGCTCATCTCCGTTTCAAAGCCGAAGAGCCAGCGCTGTCTGAAGACGTTTCCATGGTCATGTGGCCGGCATGACTAAACACCAAGGCTCACGGAACGCTGTTTCCTTCCCACCGAAGTGGTACCTATTTATCTACTTGCAATTTCTTGCTTTCGAACTGCTAGGTTGGCAGGAGCTGGAACTAGAGATGGGAGCTCACTCCATCATGCGGCACCCGGGTCTTGAACTGCTGAACTACTGACCTTCCACAGCCTGCAGTTCAGCGTCTGAACCACTTAACTACTGGATTATTATGCAACTGCTCAATGACCCAAGTTCTGATTTCTTATCCCCTCAAATGACTTAATTCTGGCTTACAAAGGTATCCAGAAGTATATACTTTTCTGATTGAAATTCACACGTGTAAGGCTTTGAATATATACCTGGGGAAGGTCAGAGATGAAGTACTGTAGTGGGATTCTGATTTGTAATACTTTATTCCCTTCGAACAAACTCTTCTTTCTGCTCTATGCAACTGGCAGATTAGGAGTGTGTTACAGAGAAGCCATAGCACAAATCATCAACAGTTGAAAAGACAGACACACGCACGGCAATCACAGGATGGTACAAACCCTCCCATAAATATGTAAAGGAAATATGGGAGGAGAACCATAAGTCATGTGGTTTGTAAACATTATTTTCACAACCCATGTTCTAGTTGTTTGTGTGTCATGGTTTGCTGTACTTCGTTTCAATGCGATTTGCTATATTGGGGGATGACTGAAGGGTTTCTAAATTAAAATTCAGCAGCTTTGTTTCTTTGTTGCTTCACCCTAGTGAACCAACATGCAAGCACAGCAGTGAATCACATACACACAGCTGGCGGTTTCCATTGTAGCTGTTTTCGCTGTCGAAGAAGCAAGCTGCTTCAATTTTCAAAACTGGAAATATGGGTTGCCTCTTCAGCATGTGGTGAAAACGTTACAGAAACCTCTGGCTCTTAATCACTTTCCTGTCTTTCTCTCATTGCCACAGGCATTCAAAATGCCCAAGGGGTTGCTCACAGTTTAAAAAGCATTGCTGTAGACTAATTGCATTAACACATATCTAAACAGATAGGGTTGGATCCTGCATTGGACAGGTGCAAACACTAGATCTTCTCCCACCTGCCAGCCCTGGAGCCCTTTCTGCCACAAGACTGGAGGAGGACAGATGTTATCCCAATTTTCAAAAAAGGGAGGAGGAGGGATGACCCAGGAAACTACAGGTCAGTCAGTCTGACCTCTGTCCCAGGGAAGATACTGGAGCAGATCTTAAAGGGATCGATCTACAAGCCTCTAAAGAACAACTTGGTGATTCGGGGAAGTCAGCACGCATTTGTCCTCAACAGGTCCTGCCAACCAACCTCATTTCCTTCTTTGATTGAATGATGAGCTTACTGGATCGAGGAAATGCTGTTGATGTGTTTACCTGGATTTCAGTAAAGCTTTTGACAGGGTTCCCCATGATGTTCTGATGGGTATAAAGGACTGTGGACTGGACTCTAGGATAGTTAGGTGGATCGGGAACTGGTTGGAGAACCACACTCAAAGAGTAGTTGTCAATGGCATTTCATCTGAATGGAGGGAATTGTCCAGTGGGATGCCACAGGACTCGGTTCTGGGTCCGGTACTTTTCAATATTTTTATAAATGATATCTGGATGAGGGTGTGGAGGGGCTACTCATTAAATTTGCAGATGGCACCAAATTGGGAGCAGCATCAAACACACCAGAGATACAGATAGAATTCAACGAGATCTGAACACTCTGGAAAAGCGGGCGGATGGAACAAGATGCAATTTAACAAGGATAAGTGCAGAGTTCTACATCTGGGTAACAAAAATGAGGAACACGCATACTGGATGGGGGATATGTTTCTGAGTAGCAGTGTGTATGAACAAGATCTTGGGTTAAAGGGTGGACGGTAAGTTAAATATGAGCAGCCAGTGTGATGCGGTGATTAAAAAAAAGGCTAATGCAATCTTGGGGTGTATCAAGAGAGGCACAACATCCAAATTGCAAGATGTCATAGTCCTGCTGTACACTGCATTGGTCAGGCCGCACCTGGAGTATTGTGTGCAGTTCTGGAGGCCTCACTTCAAAAAGGTTGTGGACAGAATGGAGCAGGTGGAGAGGAGAGTGATGAGGATGATTGGGGGCCTGGAGACCAAGCCCTATGAGAAAAGGCTGAGGGATGTGGGAATGTTTAGTCTGGAGAAGAGGAAGTTGAGGGGGGCATGCATCTCATTAAGTATTTGAAGGGCTGTCACTTAGAGGAGAGCAGGCAGCTGTTCCCGTTGGCAGCAGAAGATAGGACTTACAATAATGGGTTTAAAGTAAGGGCAGGAAGGTACCGGATTGTGTGTGTAAAGTGTTGTCAGATCGCAGCTGAATTATGGCAATCTCGTAGAGGTTAGGCAAGAGACTAATAGAGATGGACTGCCATTGCCTTCCTCTGCACAGGCACCCTGGCATTTCTTGGTGGTCTTCCATCCAATTACTAACCAGGGCTGATCCTACTTAGCTTCTGAGATCTGATGAGAGCAGGCTAGTCTGGTTGCTGACAGTTTAATCCAGGGGTTTCAAACATATCACTTTGGGGGCAGAACTGGCCCATCCAGGTCTCTTATCTGGCCTGCGAGCAACTGGTGCAAGGGCAGGGAAGGCAGGAGGCTGCTCGGGGGGGGGGGAAGTGGGTGAGTGTGTGTGTGGTTGAAGCTGTCAAGAAATAGAAAGGAAATGGCTAGGGAGGTAAAACAGTGTGGTGGGAATGGCAGCGAAGTCAGCTTCACATTTTTTCAAGTGGTGACTGTGAGGGGGGTTAGCAAGAGTGGGCATGTGGTGTGGTGGTTTGCCAACAAAGGGATGGGGCTGGTGGGGGAGAGAGGAAGCAGAGGGTCAGTGCACGGATTGGGAGGCAACTGGGCTGTTTTGTGCCTGCTGCTCTGAGGGGAAAGATGTCCCAGCCTTGGAAGCAAGTGGAGGAGCAAAGGGGAAAAGGGGCGCTGCTGTCACCACTGCATATCTGAACACCTGCAGAGCCAAGAGGCAGAGTGAGTGTTGGGGCTGGTGAGGAATAGTGACCTCCCTTCCCACCTCCACCTGTTCTCAGCCTGTGAGGGGAAAAGGTGTCACAGGAGGACAAAAAGTACCCCCTGGAGGTTTTGAAAACAGCCTCTCCATCAGGCCTTCCTCTCAGCCCTGTTGCTTCTGTGGGAAACTCAGGAGGGATGAGAACTGGGAGTTGGGGGGATCTGGGAGAGCCAGGTTCAGACCACCACCACCACCACCCCCGAGCCAGGACTCTGTCGTCTGGGTCACCAGGGTCCGGACGCTCAGCCTGGCCCATCTCACAGGATTGCTGTTGTTCGTGGGGATGGGGTGGTCTAGGGGGGAGTCTGGTGTGCCTCCTCAGGCTCCACAGAGGTAAGATGGGGGAAGAGAGGAAATAAAGAGTGAGAGGCTGATCATAGTGTGCTTGGTTGCTGGGCATAAGGGGGGGTTGCTGAAAAACTACCTTATTTCCTTGCAAGGAAGATGAGTGCTCTCTCTCTCTATATATATAATAGTGCTATGTATACAAAAAGTAACCAATTTGTATGGAAATGTAAGATATCCTTCTTTTTATGGTATCCCTTGGGAAAAACCTAGTCCTGCATATTTATTGGGGCTTTGTGGGTTCTCCAGTAAATCAGTTGCTTTCACTGCTAAGAATCAATTGCTTTTGTTTGTATTTTGACTAAAAATAATATCATTAATTAGGTTTGCCTGTGTCTTTTATAAAATACGTATCTTCGGTACCTGACATTAAATTTTATGGTACACATGGCCCGGCCTGAAAAAGTGACATTTATGTCAGATCTGGCCTTCATAACAAAAGAGTTCGACACCTCTGGTTTAATCCATCCCCTTAATCCTACTCTTTTCCCACCTAAAAGAATGATCTTTCTTCACGCCAGTCACAGGTGCTTGCCAGAAGCGGCTTGCCTCAAGCCAGCAAAACCACTTATGTTTATTCTGCCTCTGCTGCTCATGAGAGTCTCTCTTTTCTAATGGCTGAACGGGCCAAGTTGTCTCTTCACATATAGACTGTGGAATTAGCTATTTGTTACTTGCAACATGTTTTTGTAACTTGTTCTAACAAAAAGATTAAAATTACAATACAAGGGATATATAAACAATAATGGACTTGAAATATGGATGAGGGAATCTTCTTGACTGTTCCTTGCAGGTGGACAATGAAGTAGAAACTCTAAATCTGCAAGTTTCTGCCTTGTTCAGAGAACTTCAGGAGACGCATGCTAAGTTGAAAGAAGCTGAGCTGCTCCAGAAGAAGCTACAAGAAAAGTAAGAATGGTGTTAAATTATTTATTTGTTTTACTGTGTTTCTGTACTGTTTTTTCTATAAAACAAGCCAATTATATCCCCCCTTTCTCCTCCTCCCCCTTTCCCATTATTGGCCCTCATTGCTGGCTTAATGTTTTAGCCCCTCCTCTCGGGGCCAGAGGGCCTTTTGTGTCCTGAGCGCCAAGCAGGGAGGAGCCACATGTGCTGCTCTGCCTCAGATGGCAAAAATGACATTTGCTTGGGTGGGGGCCCTCTAGCCCCTTCTCCAAGGCAAGAGGTCTTAAATATTAATTATATACTAGATGGGCCATTTAGAACATCCCAGGTTTGAGATAAAGCCTCAACAATGGGGTGGGAGCAAGATTACCTGTATGAATCTTGGGAGAATATTGCGTTAGGAGCCATGGGAGAAGGCGGCCCCGATTTCCATCACAGGATGAACCAAAGTCTGAATGTAGACAAAAAATCAAATTGGTGGATCGGTTTGTAAAAGCATATCCACTTTACGTGGTGATTGGTTTGCCTTGAGTACCTCAGTGTTGGATTGGTGCTTTCTGTAGGATCAGGTGAATCCATGTGAAGATACTGTTGTTTAAGGATGGTTGTCTGTGCCTGGGGTGGGGCAGTCCTGATTCAACCAGGGTTCATCGATGTGGGTGCTTAAAGGCACAGGTCTGTCTTTCACTCATCATGTCTTTGCTTTCACAAACAACAGGGGTCTCCAGTGCTATTGCAACTATTGAAGAAACAGTGGAGGTCAATATTGACATTTATGAGCCAGTGTTCTGTGATGATTGGACTAGATGACCCTGGAGGTCCCTTCCAACTCTATGATTCTATGATGTGCACTGTCAGGAGTGAGCGCTGTGAAAAGATGTGTGCGCTTCTGTCTCCTTTGCTCAGATGCCAGGTGGTTGAAAGGAAACACTGCACCAGCATAGGAGATCTGGATGAAAAGCAGCAGCTGCTGTATACCATTAAGAAGCTGGAACTTCAGGTGGAGAGCATGCAGTCAGAGATCAAGCTGGAACAGGTCAAAACCAATGAAGAGAAGTGAGTCTGAGCCCAGAAACTGGACCTTCAAATGTGTTTTTCACCCCAGGACTCTGTTCAGCCCTGAGCATGTCAAGGCACCCATAGAGAAGGGTTTTTCTGTCCTACATTTAATCTCCCCCTCTTTTTGCTTCAGTTCTTAACGACAGTTAACCAGACTCAGAGCAGACCAGCACAGTGGTCTGGCCTCCTAGACCAGCCCAGATCCACCCTGATAGTACCATTCTGGCCTCGCCAACTTTTGTTCCCGATCCTTTGGGATCTATCCAATAGGACCCATATTCCACTCCCAGAGGCAGAAGACCACCTTCCGGGGTACCTGTATACTTCTACAATGTTAAGTCCCTGTACCTAACCACCTGAGTGGGGGAGGTACCTGGGCTTTGGCCTTCCAGAGTAGCACAGGTCCTGATTTCTGCACACAAACCATCTACTCGTATATCTTATGGGTATACATGGAAAAGGTTTAACCTCTGGGCAAAGGAACAGGGAATGTTGCCAGACATTTGTGCTCTGGCAGATATCTACTTGTACCCAGCGTTCCCTCTAAGCTGAGTTAGTGTGAGCAAGCTCACCGTTTTTTAGCCTCTGGCTCACAGATTTTTGCTTTGCTCAGGAAGGATGGCTCCAGAGCCAACTAATTTATGCAGCAGCCAAACCACTCACTCACAACTTTAATGCCAGTAGCTCACAAAGTAGAATTTTTGCTCACAAGACTCCACAGCTTCAAGGGAGCATTGCTTGTACCTACTATCCCTAAGGGATGTAGATTTAATGGGGTCATCTGCCAAGGTGCATCTTGCTGCCATATCAGCATTCCATGAGGGATTTGATGGTTTCCACTGTATTTTCAAGTGCTGTGTCCAAAGCATTTTTGGTAGGTTTGTCCAGGGGTCATTTCCTGCAGGAGCGCACAGGAGCGGAGCTCTGGCAGTAAAGAACCCAGGGGGCGGGCACATGCAACAAGCCCCACCCCCTGCCCCCAGCAGCCCTCAGTCAGAGCAAGAAGCAGCCAGATAAGCTGCAGAGCTCCCCCGTCCCCCTGGTCCAAAACAGTCCAGTGGCACCTTTAACACCAGGTTTTATTCAGGTACAAGCTCTCCCTCCTCTGTGATGACAGATCTGCACGTTCCTCCCCCCTCCCCCCCCAATAGGTAGCAATCTAAAACAGTCCAGTGGCATCTGAGCAGTGGGTGTTGCCTTCTGACACACTTCCGGTGATGTCAGGGGGTGTGGCATATGCAAATAAGTTATGCTAATGAGCTCCTGCACCTCTTTTTCTACGAAATGACCCCTGGGTTTGTCTAACCTCTACTCACCGGTATTCCCCCTGCTTCCCCAGTGGAGTTAATCTTTGGTTCTGTCCGTGATAATACATAAACCGTTTGAACTTATGGCCATGTGTGATTTGTCATTCCTTTCGTATAAGACAGCTTTTCTGGTTGGTATAACTTCTGCCTAGGTGAGGGCTCTGAGGTCTGACCCCCCCCCCCCATAAAGTGTCATGCAGACAAGATAGTACTTAGGCCAAGCCTTTCATTGTTTTAATATAGCTTAATGTGTTAATTTTCTCATATATTGTATTTGCTTTTGATGTAAGCTGCCCTGAGCTCTGTCTCAGGGAAGGGGGGCCTAGCAAATTGAATGAAATAAATAACAATTTCGCTCCAGAGCAGTGTCAGCTTTACACCTTTCACAAGAACAAAAGACTTCTGTCAAGGTCACTGTTTATTCATATGTTTCTCCGGTCCCACTAGGTGGCAGGTGCTTTCATCACAGACGCTGTCCTGTTGGGGGGTTTCAGCCATTAATTGTGCATATGGCAGGATTGAGACCCTGTGCCCCTTCCCAGTGAAGGCCCATTCCATCAGGGCAAAAGATTTGTCAGCTACGGTTTGCAGCAAGGGCTGAATGATTGAGGTTTGCAAGGCTGCAACTTGGTTCATGTCCTCCACCTTGATGAGGCACAACTTGATTGGCATTGATTTCAGGAACAAGGCAGCTGTGGGGAAAGCAGTGCTGCAGACATTATTCTGCTAATCGGCCCACACCCTCTTCCTGTGTGTCAGGTAAACTTGCTATTCTCCCATGTGGGATTGCACAGAAGCTACTTGCACTTACCTGTAACTGTTCATCAAGTGGCCTTCTGTGCAAGCACGCATCCCTCTCTTCTTTTCCCGCTTTGGGCCTCTTCCCACAGACCTTACTCACTGGGTTCCACAGTGGCAAATGGTGGACTGAGGGAGGGAGCACTATCTGCCCTTTGGTCACATGTTTTTGGGCAGAAAAATCCAATTCGAGCCGAGGGGAGGTGGGAACACTCCTAGCACTGTAGAAAGTGCTAGAAAAGAAAGCTAAAGAGGTTTCACTTCTGCAGCTTCCCTGCAAACACAGCTCAGCTGAACAGCTGCACAGACGACTTGATGATGACTTGTGTGTTCATTTTATACAGGTCCTACATTCTTTAAGCATTTCAAAGTCATCATCCATTTTCCTCTTGTTGAAATGACCATATGTTAGCTATTGTTGTGTAATCAGCCATAAGGGCCTCCTCATATATTACATTGTTTAGGTGTATACCCAAGACTTTTTTCAGCGTACACCTAAAGGGTGGGACAAACCAATATACTTTATCAGAGTCCTGAGATTGTCTATGGCTCCTGGTTGAAAACATGGTCAGGGGCAATCATTATCTGGCTGCTGTGTAAAATGCTCCCAAAACAGACATGGTCTATTAATATGTTTGCTTTTAAAAGGAACACCAAGACTTCTTTGAGGAAACGCTATTAGGGAAGGAGAGAATATAAAAATGAAAGTTGCTCGTTCCAAAAAATTATTGTAAGAAAGAGATGGTATTTCATGCCTGATTGTCTTATCTTCCCCCCAGAGTCAAGTTTAATAAGTTGCAGGAGGCATACAGCAAGCTCCTTTCGGAGCTGACCAGTGCCTTGAAAACAGCTGAAGACCTGAAAGCCAAGGAGGTGAGCTACTGCGTAGAGAGGAATCCTAATGAAGTATAAAGAGGGGAGCAACAGAATGCTGTGAAAATTCCTGGCTGGCTGTGTAATGGATTGGAGCTACGAACATATTGAAAATGTACATGTAGTTAAGGAGCTGGGAGCTTCAGCATGAAATAAATTGGCTTGGCTGCTGGTATTCTGTCCACCGGACTTTTGCTCTAGAGGTCAGTCTTACTGATTTCAGTGTGACAGTGTAACTCCAGTCTAAACCTTTTGCTTTCAGTGGAGTTAGACCAGAGTAGCTCCACATCTTAAAAAAATAATGCCAAACACAGCAGCCTTAATGCACATGGAATACCTGAGATGTTGAATGTTAACACAGATGTGTTTGTAATAAGAGATGTGTCAGAGAAAATCATTCAAGTTTAACTTTCTTTTCAACATCAGGCTTTCTTTGTGCAGGTGGGCTGCTTTTTTATATGCCGGGCCCTTCCTTCGATCTGAAGTGGTCCACTCCTCATCAGTGTTCCCTCTAAGCTGAGTTAGTGTGAACTAGCTCACAGTTTTTTAGCCTCTGGCTCACACATTTTTGTCTTAGCTCAGGAAGGATGGCTCCAGAGCAAACTGATTTGTGCAGTAGCCAAATCACTCGCTCACAACTTTAATACCAGTAGCTCACAAAGTAGAATTTTTGCTCACAAGACTCCACAGCTTAGAGGGAGTATTGCTCCTCATATAGTGCTTTGGGAGCTGTTTATTGCTCTGGTTGGAGTTCTTACTTTAAGCATATCTTAATGTTGTACAAAGAAAGGGGGGACATTTGGAGTAGTGTTACAGTGTTGGTTCTTGATAAACTGGATAAAATGTTCATGTTAGTTTTCAACTGGACATTTGTCAAGTCAGGCAGCAGCCATAATACTTCTCTATGTTATTTCACCTCCTTTAATTTGGCTTCTTCCCCATTATGGAGATTTCTTAGGGTTAGGGATGTACAAGTCACAGCAAGCATCTGGGTCAAGATCTGCTGCAGAAACAGTTATTGTTTCTATTGCAGCCTCACTCTTTGACTTCCCACTGTGCAATTCTGCTACATCACACAAGACACAACCTGCTTCTTAAATAGCATTAATAAAAGAGCTAGAATGCAATAAGAAGGATATTAGAGAGTGGACCATGCAGTATTGGGGTTTTGCCCATTAAAGTACTTGACCCTCCCCAACCCATTTCTAATAAATGTTTCTCCAATGAACAGAGGAATAAAGAAACTCATAAACAGAATAATTTGTTTAACATAAAATTAAGAGAAAGGCGAAAATGACAAAAGGAGAGAAGGCCAGGAGGAGAATGTGGTACTTGGAGATGTCCGGCCTGGCACATTTCTTGCTCAAGAAGCATCTTTTGAGGTGGACTAGGGGGCAGGAGGGATGACTGGGTACCTTTTGAACAGTGGCCTGAAATAGTGGTACAGTGCTGCTGAATCCTCCTCTAATAATTCATTCTTTTCAAGGTGGGCAGGGTAGGGCAGGGCAGGATGTCTCTGTTGGGCCTAATAAGGGTTAGACTGCTGCACAAAGCAAAACCATGGGCAGAATTTGGGTTGTGGAAACCGACAGGTGTGTCTTGAGCCTCTCGATTTCACAGGATGTTTCTGATTCCCCTTCACTTGCTGCAGGCCGAGAGGGTGGACAAGGCTGTGGCTGAGGAACTGACGCACAGGCTGGAGCTTGCTGAGAAAGCGCTGGCTACCAAACAGCTCCAGATAGATGAAATGAAGCAGGCCATTGCCAAGCAGGAGGAAGAACTGGAGACAGTGGCAGTCCTCCGGGCTCAGGTTTGGCTCCCGTAAATGCCAGTTCTGCCTGTACAAAGAGCTTTCCTTCACTGTGGGCAAGGTGTCGATAGAGCATGGTGTGAAATAAGCAGTAAGCAAGACACCATTCGTGTTCCTGCCAAGGGAAGATGAGAGGGTATATGTGGGTTTTTCCTTTCAGAGGAATGACAAGGAATTTCTGGAAACCATGCATGGTATTGTGCCTCCTGTCTTTCTTAATATGCTCTCATTTTACCGTTTGGGATGACCAGATTGCAGGGTTGCTGTGGCACTTTGCTGGTGGAGCAAGGGGACTAAAAGTAGAAGCTGTGATCTGGGAGGTCTTTCATTTTATTTACTTATTTATTGTCTGCATTTCTCACTGAGACTCTAGGTAGATTACAGACTTTAGCAATGGAATAGGGAACACTGTAAGACATATAACATTGTAATAAATCTTGCCTTTGCCACAAACCCACTAGCTGTCCTTAGACAACCCATTTGCTTCCAGCCTCATTTCCCCACCCCCACCCCTGTATCTGCAACCTGGGGATGATACTATTGGCCCTCCCCTGCATGACTGATATGAGGAGTAATACAACTGGCCCTCCCTTGTATGTGTGTGAGGTACTTCAAGGCAGAGAGACATGTTGACAGGTACAGGTGTTCTCCTACTAAGTGCCAGTGCCACGTGTGGAAACAAGGATGGGGAACCGAGTCAGCATTCTGAGCCATGCTGAAACCTTACCAAGAGCCATAGGAGCCAAGGCAAATGAATAACAACTTGTTTGGAAGCACTGCACATTGAATACCTTTACCACAAATGTGGACCCCAGTATGGGGGATGGGGGGGGGGCACCAATCCAGTCCGTTCTACTAGAGGAAGCACTGTCCTCCTGCAAAAGGAGTCTTCCCCCGATACAAGAGGCTTATTGTGTTGGCAGAAGGTGCCTTCCATCAGGACAAAGCAGTTCTACTACAGGGATGGTTCCCTGGGATCCAATCTGCCAGGTGTAATTCTGGTGGTCAGGAGAGCCTTGTGCACCACTGTCAGAGAAATACATTGCTCAGAAGTTGCCAGTAATATTGGGAAACTGAGAGTGTCCCTTTTCCATCAGCAACAAGCTGTGTCATGTATCGGGGCTTAGCGTGGATGCCATTCTTGGATTCCATATCAGTGTGGTATAGTGGACTAGGGAGACCTGGTTGTAAACCTCCCAGTCTATGAAGCTCACTGACTGGCCTTTGACGAGTCACTCTCTCTTGGCCTTGCCTGCTTCAGAAGACAGTTGTGAGAGTGAGCTGGAGGAGAGGACACACAAGTTATTTGGAGAAGGGGAGGGATAATAACGTGTGTGAATGTGTGAGAGAGAGACAGCTCCATTGTCTGTCACTGTCCATGTAAAACCCCTCACTGGCCATTGGAATCCAGAGGGAAGGGCAGACTGTGCCTCTCTGCAGCAGGAAATCAGAATGCCGAGTCTTGCTGGCCAGTAGAAACAGTGACAGGCAACAAAATGTTTAGGTCTCTGGGGCTCAGATGTACCCTAAACCTTAAGGGTCAAGGTGCTCAGGACTCAGGAGGGAAAGAAATTTTTTCTCAACAGGGCCCCATGAGGAGCATTGCTATAATGTCCACTTAACAAATGCAGATCTAAAGCTGAAAGCAGAATTTAAAAATTGGGCTTGCTGCAGATTTTTGTATAGAAGAGGCACAATAGCAGACAGCTGTGCAACTGACATCTAATGACTTGATTACTTGCATGCTTGACCCTGGCGCTTTACCTGCTATGATGTACCCCTATTTCTCCCCAACGGTCCAGCAGATGTTTCCTGCCCAAACTTCAGTTCCCCTCAGTGTCTGAGTTGCTTTACAGTAGTGTGTACATCTTCTCTACTGATATAAACTTGAAACTGTCCCACCCTTTGTTTAGATATTGGTTTAGGCTTTAGATCCAGTACAGGAACTTGTGGGAAAGGTAGGAGCTGTCATGTTTTATAAACCCTTGTGAAATGGCACTTGAGGCAAATTAACTTTCAAAAACAGAATAATGATTTTATTAAACAGTTAGGGAATATATGTATAATAGGACTATTCAAGGTTTTGAGATTGCTGAGGTAAAAACTTTCTAATATATACAGAGCTGAATTCTTAGAACATTCAAGAGTGTGTATTTGTAGTTTTGTTTCAAGGTTTTCTAGTTCTTTCTTTGACAGGTACTTGTTTAGTATATTTCAGCACTAACACAGTTCTTATTAACCTTTCTTCTGGAGGACAGCATTTGCTTAAAGTTTCTAGATTTCTTCCTTCAGAGTTCTAGGTTTTCCTGTAGATATTACAGCTTTTCACTAACTCCTGAGGTGTCTAAGTGTCTCCCCTTTATCACAGACCAGGTTTCTCTTCCCAACCCCTTTCACTGGCAGGAAGTTATTCTCCTTGTCCCTTAGAAGCAATAACTCCTTTTACTATTTGGCTTCCATGGGAGTTCACTCTAACTACCCAGACCTTCTGCCAAATCCTTCTCCAGTATCCTTTGTCTGTATAAGGCTGTTCTGTAGCTTTCCTGACTGAGAATCTAAATTCTCCCTCAGCAATTTTAATATATTTAAGACAATGGAGTTTCTCTTCTTCTCTCTGTAGAAGTACTTTTCTGACTATTGCCTGTCGGAAAACACTGACTCCCAAATGTCTCTTCCAGAAGCCAAACCCTCTGGCTACTGATCCAGACATTAGTTTGCAGACCAAGACCGAAAGTGTCTCAAAAGGTGAAAGACCAAATTGTGGAAGCCCTCTTTTCCCTCCAGGTCAGCTGTTTTATTTCCTCTCTCATTTGGTGTTGGCCAATCAGAGTGAGTAGAGCAGCCAATCACATAAGCTCTTCTCTCCATGGAAGATTAACTCATGAACTCCCTGACTCTTGGACACAAGCAGCATTTTAAAAAGCCTGCTTTTCTGTGCAATCTGTCATACCTGCTTGGCACAGGGGTTCGGAAGTCTGCTTGTTGAGTCAGGAAACTCACTTGTTGGCTTTGTGCAAGTCATTATTCCTCAGTCACCTCTTTCTCACAGGTTTGTGGTGTAGAGGAGACATTTTAACCCGCCGTGACTGAGCTATTGCATCGAGCAGGTGAACACCTTAAAATAATGGCTGTGATTTTATGGATACTGACACAGGAGTAAATCCCATTGAGTTCAATAGGATTTTACTTCTGTGTATGTGTTCAAAGGCTTCAGCTGCTTATGGGCCTTTATGATAAAAGGGTAGGAACAGCCCCTTAGCTAGACGATTTTCAGTGGGAGGGCGCTGGATGGAGGAGGGGTGGGGGAGAAAGAAGAATGGAGGCACCTGACAGTGGGGGGGGGGGCGCACACGGTGCCATTTAATCAGAAGAAAAGTCCACCAGGTTCCACTGAACTTAATCTCAATGAAAACAGGAGTCTGAAATGAGGGCAGCCCAGTCCTACATGTCGGGCATAAATGAATACATTTGGTACAGAAGCAGTTCTGCACTATAGGTACTAGTCCCAGAGTTGGCTCTTGTATCAAAATGAAACAGGAGTCCACCAAGCACCCTTAATGACTGATGATCTATTCCAGCATAAACTTCTGGGAGTCAATGGAATACATTCTGTTAGTCTTGGAGGGCGATTCCCGAACTCCAGTTTAATTCTGAATGATACACAGGCCCAATCTGCATCTAGCATTTGCTTCGTTGTTTTACCAAACGCACACTGGAACAGAAAAAGATGTGGCTCAAAACCACATTCAGATACCCCGGGCCAACGCTGTGCTGACTGCAGAGTCACCCCTGAAGGGCCATAAAACAGCCATAAATCTATGCAGACAGCCACCATAAAACCGAGAGATCAAATGAAGTGAAAGCGGCATGCAATCTGGACACCGCCATGAAATCCAACAATCAATCAAAGTGAAAGTGGCATGCAATGTAGAGGGGGATTTTTGTTCCAGTGTCGGTTTGGTAAAACAGTGGAGCAAATGCTAGATGCAGACTGGGCCACAAAGTCTCCCGGTGCACTGTTTATTGTGCCAGCATGCATTTACACCCTCTCTGCAGTCTTGAAACGTGCAATAAAAGGCCTGGAGGTGAAGAAACACCCTCGAGGAAATCATGGGGGGGGGGGGTGCAAGCAGAAATCGAGGAGTGGTTACATACTGGGCAGTGCAAGAGACAGATTAGAAACCGCCCTCACCCTTTCACTGAGGGTAAATGTTCTAAGGTTGCAGCCATGGCTGGGAGGGGAGAGGGGATTAAACTTAACTGAGCCTGGCTTCGCCAGGTAGGGGTTGTTGAAGGCCAGCTTCTCCATCTCTGCCTCGCTCCCCAGTTGCAACTTCAGCCTTAGAGTTGCCAGGTTAGGGTTAGGTTGGAAAATACCTGGAGACTTTGAAGTTGGATCCGGGAGAGGGCGGGGGTTTGGGGAGGGGAGGGGCCTCAGCATGGTACAATGCCATCGAGTCCACCCTTCAAAGCAGCCATTTTCTCTAGGGGAGCTAATCTCTGTCAGCTGGAGATCAGTTGTAAAAGCAGGAGGCTGGCAACCCTATTCAGCCTTTTGGACCGGCCCTCTCTCAGCTGGCCCCCTTGCCCTTCCCACTACAGCACGGTGAGCCAGCAAGGACACGCTTCCCCCGGTGAACAAGAAGAACCACAACGGGAGCAAAGGAGGCTCTGCGGGGAAAGGGCCTGGCAGCTGGTGCTGGCCTGGCAGCTGGTGCACCACCAGTCCAAGAAAGCAGGGCGGGGAGACGAGGGAAGGCTTCAGCCAGTGGTGGAGTTATCCCCACACTGCAAAAGCAATGCTTCCTGGCTCATACCCCAAACTCTAAGATTTGGTGGGCGTGCTGAAAATTCAGGAGGTGGCATCGCCCTGTACGCCCCAGACTAGCTACAGCCCCGGGTAGGAACCCCGACCTTGGGGCAAAAGAGAAACTGTTCTTTGTTTTGTTTTGTTTTCTGCTCAGATGGAGCTGTATTGTTCTGATTTCCATGCTGAAAGAGCAGCACGGGAAAAGATCCATGAGGAAAAAGAACAGTTAACTGTGCAGTTAGCCTACTTGCTGGCTGAGAAACATGACCGTGAAGATCACAGCAGGTAAGCAATGCATAAGGGGAAATAGTACAGTGTGCTTGGTTGTAATTGCTGGAGGAGAATGTGACTGATCTATTACGTTGTGTGTTGTTTTTTTAAAAAAACATCCCTTAGGGAGAACCTCTCCCTTCCTAAACTTGTTAAAGAAATCTGACAGTGGTTCCAGCAAGATGGTTAAGACTGAGAGGTGTGAACTGGAAACGTTCTGGTTCAGATGTCCCCTTGGCTGTGAGGTCACCAGCAGTGCCATCCTAAGCAAAGTTACACCCTTCTAAGCCCATTGACTTCAGCTCCATAGCTCTGCTTAGCATTGCACTGTGGATGGCCTCCAGCTTGAGAGAGAGTGGCTGCCATCAGCCCCTCACCCACACACAGACAGTGCGAGGATGGAAATATGGCCCATGGTTGGAAGTAAACATGGCCGGGCCAGAAGGAAGGCCGGGCCAGAAGGAAGGCCAGGCCACCGGTGGCAGGGTGGCAGGGCCCACTCTGGCCACCCAGGCTCATAAAAGTTGGCCAGGGGCCATCAGAAGTGTGGGGGGGAGAGGAAGCGCTGTAGCAGGGCCCAAGCAGGCCAAGGGTGGCAGCACACTGGGGGCAGGAGAGCTGGCAGGGCCCAGATGGGTGGTGCCAGAGCAGCAGAATCAAGGGGTGGAGGTGTGGGAGCCCCAGGACGGCCTGGGCAGCAGCTGGGCAGAGGCCAGCTGCAAGGCAGTCCCGTGCGCAGCCTGGAGGAGCTGGAAGTTTAAACTGAGCAACAAGAAAGGATCAGCCGGGGCAGCAGGGGCTAAGAGCTCTGTGCTGCCTCGGCTCATGCTGGCTCCTCTTCCCGCTCAGTTTAAACCAAGTGGCAAGAGACGTCAGCCCAGGATTGGCCAGGGTGGCAGGAGGCGAGAGCTCCACACCACCTTGGCTGGGGCTGGCTCCTCTTGCTGCTCGGTTTCAACTGAGTTGCAAGAGGAAGTCAGCCCAAGATTGGCCGGGACGGTGGGACCTGACAGTTCTGTGCTGCTTCGGCTGGGGCTGGCTCCTCTGGCTGCTCAGTTTAAACCAGGCTGCAAGAGGTGTCAGACAAGGATCAGCTGTGCCCGTGGGAAGCAGACTGTTCCCTGCCCTCACAGCTTTTGGTATGCAGTGTGTCGTCGTCAACGGCGACCTTGGGCCAGTCACACACACTCAGCCTAACCTACCTCACAGGTTGGTTGTGAAGATTAAAGGGAAGAGAGGAGAATGATGTAAGATGCTTTAGGTCCCCATTGGGAAGAAAGGTGGGGTATAAATGAAGTAAATAAATATGGCAGGTGGGGTCAGCCATGATTAGTGGTGCAGGTTAAGAAAACAGTGCAGAGAGAAGGCTAAACCACCCCTCCTCACATCTCAGGGTCCTGAGCTGAATTGTGTTCCTATGCAGTAGAAAACTGAATTTTAAACAATCGTTGGTCCAGACTCAAAACTCCTAGTGTTTCTGGTTTGGCCTAACATAGTATTACCTTTTTTCATTTGTTCTCTTCAGGAACTCCTTGGCAGAATTGCAGACTCGCCATAGGGCTAGAATTCTCTCAGGTCAAGACAACATAGCTAATTTTAACCAAGAAGGTAAGATTAAAAGAATGGCAGCTTTTGGAACCCATAATCATGCTCGTGAACACTTCTGAAGATTGGTTCATCTCATCCTTCCAAACACAAATATCTGTTTGGACAGCTGTAGGCAAACCATGGGTTGGACCCTGCCAAACATTTCCTTTGATGGAAGGAGTGTGTCTGATTTTTGCCAATTTCCCCCATCCTGCAGCAGATCTCCAACTGTGCCCCCAATTGCTGTTCCTGGGGGGCTCCCCCTGTTCTCCAGAACCAGTATTTCAGGGTGCACTTGGGCCTGCAGCAGAAGAAGGGAGGTGAAGTCATCCTTCTGTCAGCACTGATTTTCAGCTGGATTCAAGCCTACAGGTTGTCCACTGGTTCTATCCACTTGCAAGAACCCAGGGAATATTCAGGGGAATTTGGACAAATCCCTTGTGTTACCAAGTCACTTTCATAGAAGTAGTGTTCATAAACAGCAAATGTGGCACTAAACCTTCTTTCTGGGGTATACCGTTTCAGACTAAAGGTAAAGGCTAGCTAGTAATCCTTTTTTTAAATGGAGAAACCTTCAGTCTACAAAGTCCCAGTCTGGGCACTGGTCTCTTGGGGACAGTTCACATTTTTTAAAATGTATACATGTTTAACTAATGGGTGTGTGCTGTCCTGAGGTATGATCGCATGTGTGTGTGTGTGTGTGTGTGTAGAGAGAGAGAGGTTTTCAGTCATCATGTGAAGTACCACAGCTAATAGAGTGTTAAATATTTTCAGAAAGCCTGATGGCTGAGGATTGTCCAACACAGAATTAGACTTTTTAAGCCCACTGGAACCTTAATTAATTGAAATACATATATGTTGCTTCTCCATGCCCCCTCCCCAGCTCCAGGTTGGGGTTTCTGTGATGGATTTTGATGTCATTGTATTATACATTACTTTTAGCCTTAATTTTTTCTATACAGTTGCACACTATATTAATGTATATGAGATTTGGGAACAGAAAGGACTGGTGTTCATATCAAAATGTCTCACAAGTCATATCAGGAGAGGGGGAAAGAAGCAAATATATACAAACTGAAACAAGGTGGATGATCTCTCCTCTTATTCATCAATAAAATGCCTATCCAGCCTTATGTGGAGACATCCTCTGCCCTTTCACCCTTTCCTCAACTTAAACCCAACCCTCTAACAAGAAAAGTAAAATCATAATTACTTTTAATATGCAAACTATGTTGTGAGCCGTGTAACTCATTAATCCTTTTTAACATTATTACAATAATCGTGTCTCTCCCTGCACCTCCCTAGTTTTATGGCTGGCAGGGATCTGAAGGCAGAGACCTTCCCTATCCACTCAGCACTATCCACTAAGCCTTGTTTTGGATATCAGTTGTAGCCCAGAGATTAAGCAGGCCCTAGTTTTGGTTCTCTCAGAAGCATCACTATACATGAGCTGTAAATGGAATAACTTTCGGAAGGCAAGGCAGTGGACAAGTAAATGCATATTTACTCAAACTACGCAGTAAAGATGAATGCTGATGAATACACTGTGTGTGTGTGTGGGGGGGGCAATGCTTACCTCATATGCAGGCAGAGGCTCTGTCTCATGTGCCTTCTGGTCCCTGGTCCCTGAGCAAGCACTCCTGCTCTCCACCCTTGTTTACACTCCTGTCCCTCCACTTCCTTTTCTAAGAGAGGTCCCAGGCCCATGGAAACCCCCACCCTGGATGCCCAATAGCCTGCATCCATTCAGGTTGCCAGGTACAACCTGGACATCACAATTGCCTTTAAATCGTCTTTATACGGGGAGATAGAGCAGCTTCCATCCTGTCTCCCTGAACCATCCTTCAGAATCCCAGTAGGGTTTATGCCCAGTTTTGGGAAATAGGATTAGACTCTCTGTGGAAACTTTCAACAAGAGGATTTGACCTAACCCTCCTGGTCAACAGCCATTAAGGTTTCTATCTTCCATATTTTTACAAATTACGTTGTTCTTAAAAGTGAAAAATCTGTCCCTGCAGAAACAGAAGAACAGGTCTGGCAGCAGAGGAATATCCCAATACATTCTTGCCCCAAATGTGGAGTGATTCTTCCTGATATAGACACGCTTCAGATACATGTTATGGACTGCATCATCTAAGCTCTGTCCTCAAAATGCGTATAAGCAAGAACTGCACTTTATCAGCAAACATATATCCAACAGCAACAGCCTTCAAATAGAGAGAGCATAGTCTTTGAAAACTAATCTGCACATTTTCCTATTGATTTCAAGAGGATATGTTCATCCCTTTTTAATTTTTCAATATTTGTACCAATCATTTAGCTTGGGGGGGAAGAATTATTCTCGTTGAAAGCTGTGATCACGTCTCTCTTCAACAAGCTGGGATTTTAATTCATTAGAGCTAAAGAACCTGGCACTGTAATGACTATTTGAACTACAGAGGACAAAAGAAAATTCGTTCTAGTGAATTCATTAAGAGCTGAACGTATGTATGTGCCCATACATGATTGTGCATCTGTGCAGTCTGATATATGCCCACATAGGTACAGCAGCCTGTGTCCCTATGTGCTTGTCTCAGGTGCGTCCTATGCATCTGCTTGAGTTTCTATGCCCACGTGTTGAGGCATGAGCATGTGTTCGTGTACAGGTTTGCACTTAAGCCAGTAAATTAGTGAAAGACGTTTTGGTGGTCGGTTCAGTCAGGAAGAGAAATTTTTGAGCTCAGGTGTCCTAAGATCCTGTACTGGAGGCTGTGGCTCACTGGTAGTATGTCATTGTCACATTCTTGAACATGGTGTTGGCCTCCTTCAGCTGCTGTGTGTGCCCTGCGCTCTCCAAGATGGTGCAAACGGCTGCCTGAGTCTTGGTCTTGTTAAGTAAGTGTGGAATTGAAAAGGATGTGGACAAGAAATGTCAAGGAGCCAAACTGAGTTCTGATTTCACTTGTCAGTTCAACTCATTTCTAATCGGGGAATTAATACTATATATTTGAGACTCCTTTTATAGCATACTATACTTACTGAATACTTGAAACAAAATCTTATTCTCTCTTTTTTTACAAGGATACCTTAGTAATGTAAATACATTGGTTTATTGTTCTTTTTAACCGTAGTGATATGATTAAATTACTTGAAAATAAAAAGATGCATCTTGTTGGTACATTTTGCCCCTTTAAAAAAAGTGTGTAAAAATATTCACCCTGATTCATATTTCTTGAAATCAAAAATATATAACATGAAAGGAAACTGACATGTTGTTGTAAAGAAAAAATAAAACCATGTTTTAAAACACTGTGCTTTGATCTGATCCTTTTGTTTCTTTACAACACTTCTATCCTGCTCCTTCATCCTACAGAATCTCCAGGAGTCATGGAAATGAAAAAACAGGATGCAAAACCAGCAGAACAATAGCCCTAAGATCAGTGTCAGGGTCACAGAATAAAATTAGTCATTAGTTAGACTTGTTGTTAGCTAATTTAATTATTTAGCACCCAGACCCCAAAAGCCCTCTGAAATATGATTGCTTTGAACAGCTGCAGAATTACTAGCGGGGGGGTGGGGGTGCACCTGCTTTGGAAGTACAGTGAGAGCTGTGTTATCCAGCCCTTGAGTATCCAGAATGCTCAGTTAAGCAGTATGGCCTGCAGGTCTTGTTCTGTCCTCCTTGGGTTCCCGACTCCCTGGAGGGGCTTTTCTTTCACTCTCAGGGCAGCTCACCGCCACCACTTGATCATTGTAGGGATTTCCCACTGGGAGGATCAGGACCCCAAGCTTTCTATCCATTCTGAGGCCTTGCCTGAGTCTCCCACTACCCAGTGCCTGGTTTACCATGGGGATGCTTTACTGCCTTGGGTGCCCTCAGAGGAATAGCCGCTTGCCATCCCCCCTGGAGCTCCTTTTAAAACAGCATGTCTAAAATGGTGGAGGTCTATGTGGTACAGAGAACCACTCCCAGCCATCAACAGTTTAAAGCATTTATTAAAAAGAAATTGTTTACACGCATACTTTTAGTACAGCACCAGATCTGAGCAAGGAAAACAGAAGTTGGGGGAAAACACAAATCCTCTGTCCCTCTTGCTATACATGCCCTACCAGCTGTTAGAGTAGGACAGGCTCTTTAAGCTTAGCTAGTTACAGATCTCTGCAGTTCCCCATAGCTTCAAGCTTGCTCCAGGTCTCACGGGATACCACATAGCCAATGGCTGCCTGCTTGCAGACCAGAGCACAGTTGTTGTTCAGTTGCACAGTCGAGTCCGACTCTTCGCGACCCCATGGACCAGCTCCCGCCAGGCCTTCCTGTCTTCCGCCGTCCTCTGAAGTTGGCTCAATTTCATGTTTGTTGCATCTTTGACACTGTCTAACCATCTCATCCTTTGCCGTCCCCGTCTTCTTTGACCTTCAATCTTTCCAAGCATCAGGGTCTTCTCCAGTGAGTGCTCCCTTCTCATTTGGTGGCCAAAGTATTTGAGCTTCAGTTTCATTATCTGGCCTTCCAGGGAACAGTCAGGGTTGATTTCTTTTAGTATTGACTGATTTGATCTTCTTGCAGTCCAAGGGACTCGCAAGAGTCTTCTCCAGCACCATAGTTCAAAAGAATCTATTCTTCGGCGCTCGGCCTTCCTTATAGTCCAACTCTCGCAGCCTTACATGACCTACTGGGAATACCATTGCTTTGACCATGCAGATTTTTGTTGGCAGGGTGATATCTCTACTTTTTATCATGCTGTTTAGGTTCGCCATCGCTTTCCTCCCAAGGAGCAGGCGTCTTTTAATTTCACGGCTGCTGTCACAGTCTGCGGTGATCTGGGATCCCAGGAAGGTGAAGTCTGTCACTACTTCCACGACTTCCCCTTCTATTTGCCAAAGAGTGATGGGGCCGGATGCCATGATCTTAGTTTTTTTGATGTTGAGCTTCAAGCCCACTTTTGCGCTCTCCTCTTTTCCCCTGAGTAAGAGGCTCTTTAGGTCCTCTTCACTTTCTGCCATTAGAGTGGTATCGTCTGCATATCTGAGGTTGTTGATCTTTTCCCCAGCAATCTTAATTCCCACTTGTGATTCATCCAGGCCAGCATTTTGCATGATGTACTCTTCTCACCTCCCCCCTCCCATGCCTCACCTCTGCCCCGCACACTGTGGTGGTGTTTTTTCCCCGTTAGCCCGATTAGCTCTCCATGGGAGGAAAGTCCTTGTGAGAATTTTTGTAGGCCATAGGGGAGGAGGAAAGGGAAGGGGGGGTGCTGCTTCCTCTCCCTGGGACTGCTACCCCTTGCCCTCTCGCTCCCGCTGTGCATGAATCCGCTGCATGAA